CACACACACACACACACACACACACACACACACACACACACACACACACACACACACACACACACACCACCACTACACACAACGCATGTTGATAAATATTGATACAGTGATCCTGTTTGATTATGGGCTTTAAGTGTTGACAGACTCTCAACTTGTCAGAGTGAATCTGTCATTTTATCATTTATTATTCATCCCTCTCTCTCGCTCTGACTTTAATAAATGATCAGGAAGACAGCCTCCTCCCCCTCCACCTTATCCTCTGCCTCCTCTGCTCATGTTTTCTGAGGTAAATAAGTTTGGGTTTGTTAAATTTAGTCCTGAATTCACAGATAAAGTTGATTTCTTCAAAGATCTAACAGCTGTAAACCGACAGATGGTCCTGTTGGTGTCTTCTCTCGACCTTTCTGCCAGGTCACATGATCCTGCAGCCTGTACACGGCACTGTGTCATGTGATGGTTGTGATAATTTGAAGCTCAGAAGATAGATGATGAAGGATGGTTGCAGATTGAAGGTTGTGCATCTTTAACTTAGAGTGAGTCTGCACAGGTGACTCATGGATGTCAGGTTAACCACCAGTAAGACTGGATGATCATCAGAACAGAATAATTTACAGCCTGCAGCCCCTGCAAACACACAGACTAATTTATTAAATGCAAAGGTACAAGGATCAGCACCTCATCAACTAATACCAGCAACAGTGAGTCACAACAATTGTTACAGTCGACATGTTAAAGGGATATTTCACTATTTTCAAAGTGAGGTTGTATGAGATGGATGACAGTCAGCTCAGCCCTTTCAATGAAAAACTGCAAGGAAAACAAACATGCAAGATGGGCTACAGTTTTTTTCTAAGAGACCCCAACCCTAGCTCTCATCTCGGTTAAGGTTGATGCTTCTGCTGAAAACTTGTCAGTGCTGTACTCCGCTATCATATTTGTTATTGCACTATTTGCAGACAAGCTTGGGTCAGAATCTCTCAAAATTAGTTCAATTATGGGGCAGACTCGACCTCATTTGCAGAAGAACTATAGCCTAGTTTGTGTGCCGGCTCTCTCAGCAGTTTTTAAGTAAAGAGACTGAAATGAACAGCATCCACTGTGGCTAAAACACATTTTAGGGACATAGAACTCAAACAACCTCACTTCAGAAATGCAAAATATCTCTTTATTATGTGGATTTGTAGTTAGGACTTTAAGGGATATTTTGCAGCACTAGCCACCAAACATCTTTTTAGCTTTGCCTGATTTCGTTAGCAAAGAGACTAAACACAACTCACCTGCTCTCTTCCAGTAGCCGCTTGTTTGTAGCGAGACCTCAGGCCAGTCCATTACGGACTGCAGGGGGGTGATGCAGATCAAGGAAGCACTATGGCTGGGACCCTGTATGTACTGTTGATGAAGTTAGGTGCTGTTCTGAGCATTATTTGTAGCTATAGAGTGGCGTTTTGGTTGAGGTTTGTTTATGGCTCCTCAGACCGCTGTGTATTGCTATCCTGCAGTCGTTACTAAAGTTTGTGTAACTAGAGAAGCAAGCGGTCGGCAAAATTCATCTCTAGAGTTGGTGTCTAACTTGGTGTTAAGGTTTGTTTGACCCTAAATTAATTTTACCCCAGAATATCCCTTTAATTCTTGTCACATAAAGGTTTTATTTAAGTGGCGTTATGAACTTCTTCTAATAATATTTTAACTTAATTCTCCCAATTTTGTGTCTTTACAAGATTTTATTTTATTTTATCCTTAATGTATCTAATATTAAATACAAACTTTAATTTCTCTTTCCAAACAGTCATTATGCTTCATGTTAACCTCCAAACCGCCTGTGTGTGCGTGTGTTGAATTGATGCACAGCAACAACATCAATCCCTGTGAACTCATTGCCTCCCCTCTTGCTCTCTTTTCTCTCTCTCTCTCTCTCACTCTCTCCCTCCCTCTCTGCATCCTTTTCCAGACACTGCAGACATGAGCGGCTGAGGGGTGAGGGAGGGGTGAGTGAGGGGGAGAGCAGCTGAGTGTGACGGAGAAATAAAGCACTGAGAGCGAGAGAGAGCGAGAGAAAGAGAGAAAAAGAGAGAGAGAGAGAGAGAGGTGAGTGTGCGTTCTGCATACAGATCGTCTGTCTGTAATGAAGCACGGGGAGATATTCTGGCTGTTGATTGGCCAACTCCTTGGTGGCGTCTGCAGACATTAAGAATACATGAACGTGCAAACACACACACACACACACACACACACACACACACATGAACCAGTGTGAACAGTCTTTGCTTGTCTGAGGTGAAACACTGGTTGTTTTTGCAAAATGAACTAAAACTAACAACAAAATCTGTAATTCAACAAACAGCTCATCTGACTGAGGATTTTCAAAAACTAAAACCTATTTTGACACATTGTATGCTCTAAATGAGACCAAACTGATCAAAGATGGTTTTATCAAACAGGCTGCAGAAGCTCTCAGCTGTTTCACCTTCACTTTCTGAGCGTGTGCAGTGAGGACATTGACCATGAGTGTTTCACAGTGGCCTCATAAACCCTGCAGGTTGTCCCTCAGTGTTGTTCACTGTCCCAGGGGTATGAGGCGCCCCCCTGCTCGGCCCTGTGCAGATCATTGGGCTGAGGATATCAGTCTGCCTGACGGGGAAACAGCAGCTCCTCGCCCTCGCTCTCTTATTTCCCCCGAGACCCCTGAATCAGATTTCAAACAAGGCCGGCTGGAGAAATTTGGTAAAACCGTGTCGATGTGAATCCTCCAGAGAGAGCGGAGGCCTCATCAGCATAATCAAACCCACAGAGAAGATAGAGAGGACCCCCTCCATCCTTCATCCAGCGAGGGTTAAACCTCCAGCCAGGCTATGAGGGGTCAGGAGGAGGAAAATGATGGAGGTGATGAGGATGAATACTCCACCTCATTGCCCACACCTGAGACACAGAGTGTGGGCAATGAGGACGGTTTGAGCTGCTCAGGATCATCTGCGGGTGTGTCTGATGGAACATCAGTCAACTTTGAGAAACTAGTTATTCCTCTTTCCTTTAATAAAAGTATATGAAATAAAATGAAATTTCCTCCAGTTTCCAGCTGTTCAGCTGCTGCTAATGTCAGAAAATGATGCATTTTACTTTTTTTTTTGCTATCTGAAGAGCCCCCTGAGGCTTCTTTCAGATATACAAAGATAGTTTCAAGTTTTATTGTGAAAAGAGAGACCAGATCATTCCCCATCATCTAAATAAACTCTCCCCTAGACTGTATGCACTCATCTGCAACGAGGCTAGGCCTCTGCTGCCCCCTGCGGGTAAAGGACAGTGCTATAGGTTTATTTCTATGCCTCACTCACTCACACTTGGGCTGTGTTGGGCCACACAGCGAGGCTAATTACCATCATTTTATCTGATTGGAAGCCTCACATGTCATCCTGAGAGCTGAGGCTGCCCAGGCAGGGTCAAAGATCAGGTCCAAGCTCAGGGGGAGGAGGGGCAGATGTTGAAACAGAACAGAGCAGGTCTAAACATGAGCCCTAATGTTTTTTTCCCCTGCAGGACGTCTCAGTGATGAACGACGCCATTGTCTCATACAGAAAGAAATCTCACCGATTTTTTTTTTACCTTTTCCTCAGGTTAGAATCTGTCTGTCAGCGCCGACCATCACTGGGGAAAAAAAACCTGAGATGAGTGTGTTCAACTGTGTGTCTTTGTGTAAGTCTGTGTGTGTGTGTTGACAACGGAGCCTCAGGTTGATCAAAGTTGACCTTGAGTGTACAGCCAGAACAGAGAAAATTAGAAGTAATGACGGAGGAGAGGATTGAAGGAAATCAATAAGCTGCAGATCGATAGTTATTTGATTTTTTTATCACTAATTTCTGAAGAAGAAGGAGGCGGAGACGTCATTGATCCCCCCACCCCCACCTAAAATCAGTTATTTCAGGTCATTAAAGAAGATGAAGTGTCCTGCAGACTGATGGAGGACATCCAGCTGATGGTCTGAATGCATAAGCATGGTGAGATGAAACAGAGAGGATTGTGGGTAAGAGGTCAGTGCTTTGGGCCGGTTAATGATGGTATCATAAACAACACAAACCTCTTTTTTATGATTTCTAAAGCAAACAGAGGTCAAAGATTTCAAAGTTTCTCCATAAAATAGAGATTTATCCAAACAGCAACATCTGCTGTTGTCAAACAAGGCCAATTTAGGAAGTCCCAAAAACTGCAGTTCATTAAATGTCCACCAGAGGCTGTGTCCCAAAGGTGAGTCGATCCCCATAGACCCCCATGTTAAAATGTCTGACATTACAGGAGAAGTAAACATGTTTCCAGTCTGGTATTAGTATCTGTTTATTGGATCTAAAGGGTTAAAAATCAAAGTAAATTTTTGCTTAATTTATTTGATGAACTTGGCAGGAAACATGCTAATTTCTGAAGTACATTTGGGGATTTTAACATGAAGGAGATTGACTCCCTTAATAGGACCACCTCTAGTGGACACTACAGGAACTGCAGTTTCTGGGAATCTGGGTTTTGTTCATTTCTATTTATTTTATTTAGCTTCTGAGACTGCTGCTTGACTCAGACCCATGTGGGTGTTGCAGTAGTGATCTCTAGTGGCTGTTGTAATAATGACAGACTCAGAGGCGGAGGTTGGGTGGTTTAGGCCCAATCCCAAACCATCCCCTACACCCTCGCCCTTCACTACCTTGTGTCACTCATATAGAAGTTATACTCGCAGCTGTGGAGTGCGCCTCAATTGAAATGGGAGGGTACAAACAAGACAGGCAGGTATGGGACGCCCTTCTCACTCCACCGGAAAACAAAAAGATTAATCGCCATAGTAACACAAAGACGCATCCTGTGCAAGGCAGCCTTTATTTTCTTAGTAAACAGACATCATGTACAGTTCTGAGCCGCACTGGCTGCCTCGTTTCTTCATCCTCCCGGTAAAATCATAAATCCAGCAACCATCACAGTGACAGGAGCTAAATTATTCTTCTGTCAGTGTTTGAGGTTTTTAAGGATCACAGCTTGGACACAGTTCTCTTCTGAATGGCTGGAGCAGCAGTAGTAGGTGTGGGTCGACCCCACAGACGCAGCCTGCTGACTCCTCCATCTGGGCTAATGATGAGACGTACGTGAGTGACGGGTGGGCTGGGGTTCAGCTCAGCCTGGTAAAGATGAATATGGTGAGGACGAAGCTGCAGACACACAGGAGAGACAGGAAACAGAACCTCATCATGTGACCAGATTGAATGAGAGCTTCCTCATCTGTGAATGACGTGGAGTTAGAACCAAACACTGTGAATAATTATGTTTATCTGTAAACTTAAACAGTTTTGTCAGTAGTAGAGGATCAATAGGGGGCGCTAACTAGTCACCGCCCCACCTCTCTCTGCAAGAAGAATAATGGACTATTATTGAATAATATGTTTTTTAAATAAGTCAGATTGAGGTCTGGATTTCAAAAGAATTGTGGTCAATGTTTTCAACAATTGAGTGAAATGAATAAACTGTTGTTAAAACGTAGATTAAAAGTTGTCTACCTGTCTGAATTTACTGCTAATCACGTTTTTCTGTCTCAGCCCTCAATTAACTATAAAGTTACACATGCGCATTCCCTCGTCTCTATACAAGTTATAGTAGCCGGTTCTGGAAAAATGTGACCTATCAGCTATTCTGTGACAGCAAGTTTACAAAGTCTGCATCGACAAGGACTCTAACCAAGGTTCTCGTTAACTGCTACTTTTGGTCACATACTCAAGCATAAGTTGCATTTTAAAGTGAGTGAATGACTTTTCTGATGCAGTTACTCGGTAATTGAGTCACTCTGAAAGGAGGCTGGAGTCACAGAGAGTCAAGATTCTGACAGTATTGCTTTTTGAGAGGAGGTCTTTGCAGGCTGAGAGTTAAAGGGCTTGTATTGGCTGTACATCAAAATCAAACAGAGTGCATGTTAAGTGCCTTCAGTTCACACACAGCTGGGATATCTGTGGTTGCTTCTTTATAAAAATTGTCTGTTCTGGATTCAGTCACTGGTTTTATGTGTATTTTTGTTCTTTAGAAAAGATTGTCAACATGGTGTAAACAGGGACTGCGGGAGTAAACATACTTTCTGTGGGGGAAGCAGGACCTGCCATTTCCCAGAATTCCACTTGCTCCTAATGCACTGAGCCTCCTCCTCAGAGGTCAGACAACAAGCCTCGATCCTGCAGGAGTCCGGGAAGTTACCTGGATGGAAACAGACAGGTGAGGTGTTGTTCTCTCCTGTTCCTCACACACCTCTTCCACACAGACAGTAAACGTGAGGCCCGAACCTTTAAAGTGGTTTGTGTCAACCTCAATGCGACTGATGACTCCTGGATGACCGAGTCGAAACACAGCCCACTCCCAGCCCGGGACCTGCAAGATCCCTCTCTGATCTACCTGCAAGACAAGAGGCAGGGACACAATTGTCAGCAGAATGGGCATATTACGACTCTGGTATGTTGAAACTCTGTTGTACAGCCAAAAAACAGTCTTGTGCTATAATAAATCAAAATTCAACATTCTTTTCGGAAATCACTGACGCTTATCTCTTTGCAGTGCAGATTCATTGTTATTTTCCACCCAATGCAATCCTCAGTTTCAAGCCCAGTTGTGGAAAAAACAAGTGAACTCTGGTCTTTAGACAGTAGAAATACCATTTAAAGGTTAAAAATAAGAATATTTCTGGAAGTTTGTTTACTTTTAAAATGGACAGGAGTTTATGACTAGAAAGACATGACGTTTTAGATTAAAAAAAAGGGAGTTTAGGTTTCTGTGATGTTAATGTTTAGATGGGTGTGTTCAAACCTCCAGGTGTTTGGGTCTGTCCAGTCTGCGGGCTGTTTCCCAGCCATCAGCCATGTTGACCGCCCGGCCAAGTCCTGCAAATGCATCACACTAGTTTCACCATCTGTTTCCAGAGAGTTGCTCAAGCCAAACACGGACACAGTATTCAGCATATACAGGTAGAACTATGTGTGTGAGTCCAACCGATCATGTTGCGTGGATGCCCAAAGTGTGCATCACTGTAGCCGAGACCGACTCCTCCATTGGTCAGGGCCACCAGGTCGACATCCTGGTCGAGGGGTACAGATGACCAGTCTCTCTGTCCGACTCCATACACCCGCAGCCTCGCTATCCCCCCATCTGAGGACACATAGGCGCTCAAAAGTGCTGTTGGTGTTTTACAAAATAGTAGTGTCTTTTTTTGTGTGTGTACCTGGGTACATGTTGAGGCGCAGGTGTGTCACTCTGCTGTTGAAGTTGACTGTAAAGTAGTTATGGCAGCAGTCGGAGTATCCAGGCTTGAGCTGTGACACACCCACCAGCTCTGGCCACGCCTCTGAGCCCAGCTGTCAATCAAACCAGACCTGATTACTGTGTGACTGTATATCAGAGATTGATGATACCACTGTGACGCTATCGCTTAAAATCAGAGTTGTGTTACCTTGGCGACAGCAGCCAGCTGACTCTCTGAGGCGGCCATGCCAGTTCGATCTCCATCTAGGGCAAGGTTGGGTGTCTCATCTGGCAAAGATCATTTACAAAGAACTTTACTGTTTCAGGTTATTTACTGGCTCATAGTTGAAGAAATTTCAGAGCCCTCAATGATCACATCAGACTGCTTGTAATTCACTGCTGCTGCTTCCATTTCACAAACTTTCACAATCATTACTGACTCTGCAGCAATTAAACCTTTTTATCCTGACATAAATCTGACGCCACATTGGGTATAACTGCAATGACATTTGCCCTATGCCACTTTGTGCCACATTTGAGATGAAGTCTACAATGTTATTGTGTCATAAACCATTTTGTTGCTCATGCATTAAGACAAAAAATCAGTCTATAATGAATGAGCATAAGCCAGAGCAGTTCGTACTGAGACAGCCGGCCTGGATGGAGGCAAAGGGTGAGTGGTTTCCAGTGAAGAAAGACGTGTCGACATCAAAGCCGTAGATCAGCCCAGGCACTCCCAGCTGGATGATGCACCAGTCCTGACCTTCCAGATAGAGTAAATGGGGAGATATATTATGGATCATTCCAGTTAGAATTTTAGAGGATGAAAAGCAGTCTTTGTTAAGTGGATGTTCATCTTTCTGGGGCGATCATTTTCATCTTAAACATAGTCAATCATGTCATGACTCCCTTATTGATCAGCAGTTTGTAGACAGTAGACAGTAAATATACATTTCTGTTTAAGATACAAGATTGTCTCCAACTCATGACCAACAAAGTAATTCTTCCACATCATGGTCATCCAAAGCTTGATCCAAAGTGGGAAACCAGTTGCTCCCTTTGGAAAAGCAATATTTGATGTCACATTGGACATGCCCATCATTCATGAGTGGTTATGGACAATTCATCACACTAGCAAATTTGCCTTGATTAAAGCTGCTCTTGTCATTATTGGGCTCATATGAAGATGTTTGCCAGACAATAATGTACCTCACGAGCTATCTTATATTAAACAGGCAGATGTTGACTAGTTATTATGACTTCATAATGTATGAAATCAATCTGTTTCCCTTTTCTATGAACATCTCAGGAAAATGAGAGAGATTATTCCAGATACTAACCCGGTATTCTCTTCCTCCTCGTCTCCCATCCATCCATCCATTTCCCAAACTCAGTGAAGGCAGAGGCAATGAACTGTGGCGGCTCCCTCTGCGCCCAAAGAAAGAAACAAAATATATTCAGTGTGTTTTTTTTGGACATGTACATGTCATAATATGTACTGGACTTACATCAGCAAACCAGAAGTTTGCATCCTTCCATGAAGATAACTATGTTGGTTTGAACCTAAACCTGATCAGGAGTTTTACCTTCAGCAAGTTTGCAGCCTGAGCGAACCATTCATCAGTGGCAAAAATTACCTAGAAAGAAAATCACTTTGAATGTATTTCCTGTTAATTCACAGCAAAAGTTATAACATGGCCTTTTACAGAAAACTCAAGTCCGAGGTGGAGATTGGTCAATGAAGGATGTATTATGTTCAAACCGGATTCCCGATTCCCAACAGCAGGGCTGGATGTGAGGCTGATACATAAGGTAGATATATCAGTCAGGTCAGGTCAATAACTGCACTGTTGATGTTTTTTGGTTTCATCTGACTCTATTGATGAGTGTAGTTTGGTGTCATCTGCTTAACAGTTAACATTAATGGAGTTTCTCTATTATGTAAAATGGTGAATCGTTTACAGTCTGACGAAACACAGAACAACACAAACTTTAGTGTAAACAGAAGACTTGTAATCGATTAATCTCAATTATAGCCTGTAGTTGGTTAGCTTAGCATAAAGTTTCAGGACAACATGAGTATGAACAATAATATTGGCAACAACTTTCTGCAGGATAACCAATTACTTTGCCCGTGATACTTAAGTTACATGAAACTGGGAGCACCACAGTTCTTGTTGCAGGTCTTGTTATGTTTGTACTTTAACTTTAGTGAGTAACTAAAATGATTGTTTTAGTGTCTTTGATAAAGCACATTATTGAAACACTTGACTTTTAAAGGTGTTGAATCAAGGAACAGTCTGTTTCACACTTTTAACTCTTCAGTGTGGGCTCATATTACTTAATTAAAATGTTAGCATGTATTTCTGCTGTATCTGCAGTGACTCACCCTCCCACCAACTGCCTCACAGGCTAGATCATTAAATTGGAGGAAGTCGGGCTCTCCTGCAGCTTTCAGCGTCGTTTTCCTCTCTGCCATGTTGGAAACATTTAGCTGCAGCTTATTCCTCAATAGAGACTCGATCCCGCTGGACGAAGTTCATGCAGGAGGATGTTTGTTTAGACCGGGTGATGGGTCAGTGACCGGATGAATATCTGCATAAAGCTCTGTTGATACACTCCGTCCGATATCCACAAGCACCAAAACACAGCTTCAGTAACTTCTCTTCAACTGCATTATCCTGACATGTTAACACTTTGATGGAAACTGAGACCACAAGCAAAATAACATTTAACAGCTTTATTTTGTACTGAATCAGTTATGAAATATCATCTTAAAGTGGGTATGAAGAATAAAAACACAGAAGCGTTTACATCAGTACACAGAATGAAAAAAGGACATTAACTGATATAAAACTTCCATTTTAGTCAAAGATAGAAATTAAAGTCCAAATTTTAAAAAACTTGGGACACTGAATGGTTAAAAAAACAGACATATAAAAAACATATAGTCATCTTGTCATTCCACCAAATAATACAGAAGGCTCAACAGCAGTATCGCTAAGGACCTGAATCATAAGGAGCCCCGTTAATGGATCATCAGAGTCCATGTCATGGGTATCTTCCACATCTGTGAGGGCTCCATTCATGCTGAACAATATCTACAGGTTTAGGAGCAACATCTGCTGCCATCCAGACAATGCCTTTTTCAGGGAAGACCTTCATGTAAGACACTGCCCAAACCACACGTTGCAGGTTTTACAACAGCATGGCTCTGTAGAACAAGAGTCCCGGTGCCAAAAGAAATTTGGTGTCATTTAACAAGAGAAGGACACATGATGTATTCTGAGCATCATCTATAATAAGTCAACACAAAATATCAACATTATTTCTACTAACGGAGTCTGGTTGCTGTGTGCAGTACAGCACAACTAATGATACAGATGTCGGCAGAGTAACTGTTTTTCAGTAATTTTCAGTCACTTTGTGTTTTCTTCATTCAGTCTACAGGATAAGAGTATATCATCACTTTTGTATAAATGTGAGAGTCACTTATCTGAAGTGTATTCATTCATCTCTTAATGGTTAGACCTCAAATTACACAAAGTGAACAGTCTTATTTTGAGATGTAAGGTTAACGCGGATGAAACTGAGACCTGCATTCTTCATAACAGCCAGCAGAGGGAGACTTCACTAAATTCAAATACTGTAATTCTTTGGCTCTTTGGTTGCTGACTTACTCAGATACAGGCTGATTTTCACACAGGGTGCAGCGGGTAAAATTTCATTCATCAGTCCTTTGTATAAATGGTGTTTGTGAAAGGAGGAGACTTTCTCTTTTCTCTCTCCTATATGGAACACAGATACACCATGGAACCGTACAACAACCCAAATCCAGGATAGAGGGGTTCCGTGAATATGGTGTTGAAGGTGTGGAGGTGGATCAGTGTACCAGAGGAGACTATGTAGAAGGACAGGACACCATCAGGGTAGTCGAGATACACTGCTACTCTGTCCGAGAAAGAGGATGAGGCAAGACACATGACTGTTTCTCTGTCATTGTGACGGACAGAGTAACCTTTGCCAGAGCATCCAAGACTCCAGGACTGATCGTTTGACCCAAACTCACAGTCATTACCCTTCCCTTTCCTTCTGATTCCTCTGTAACTCACTGATACATGAACCTTCCCTGCCCACTCAACCTCCCAGTAACAACGACCAGTCAGGCCATCTTTGCACAGCAGCTGTGAGGTGTTGTTGAATCTGTCTGGGTGATCAGGATATGACCGGCTTCCCCACACACGGGTCGCTTCCTTGTTGTTTTCAGACAGTCTGAGGTGTCTGTGTGCCGTGTTTGGATCCAGTGTGACTTGGCAGAAATCTGGCAGTGAAAAAAATTCACAAGAGACAAAAGTTTATTGTTAGTCACAACATCATAAGTCAAATGGAGTCCATACTTACACTTCTTCAGACCAGGTTTTAATCTCCCCTCTCCACCATAGTCCACCCTGAAGGAAGAAACACAGAATCATTTTCTGTCCACCATGATTTAGAGCTTCTGTTTATCCTGACGCAGTGTTCCTGAGTTTGTCACTATGACAGAAAAACTGTCCAGATCAAATCTGAACCCACTGATCCATTAGTCTTTCACTTTCACGGGGTGGAGATCCTCCAAGAAAGTACCAAAAGAATATTCAGAAGGCAAAGCAAAAGGCAGAGTCTTCAGATCCAGGAGGCCTTGTCTATACCCTAAGCAGAGATTACAGAGGTAGTCAAACAGCCCTCAGTGGGAAGGCATCGTGATACCCTCAGAGATATTGTGGGCTCTAGACTTTGTTGGGTTGTCTTGACTGACACAATATTTCAATGTCTTGTGGAGGTCTTGGTGAAGTCCTGAAGGGCAGATCGGGGTGGTTGTTCTGTGTATACTGTATACTATTATACTGTATAAAGGTAAATGAAGACGATAAAAAGACTCAACTGTTGTTGAAAAAATATATTTCCCTATAAATGTGTGGGATTGAATGCAAGTTGTGAACTCTGGTAGCATCTTATTATTTCGCTAATGCACCCTTACATTCCCCTTGGGATCAATAAAGTTCTTGTTGTTGGTCTAAGGCACAGGTGCTCCACACATCCTGAAGATGACAACATGAGGCCTTTGGGCCTGACTGCTTCTTGGTTTAAAACCAACACACACATATGGGCACTAGCATTAGAACAAGTGCACAACACAGGTGCAGGGAGTAAAACGAATGCATGGAAAATAACAGTGACACTCACACCATGCACCACAATGCTTTGCCTAATAGAGCATTCGCTGTCGAACGACTCATAGCCTGTTTATACCTCAGTGTTTCCAGTCTCCAGAGTGGATCCTGCAGTCCAGCAGAAAGCAGCCTCACTCCTGAGTCTCCTGGATGATTGTAGCTCAGATCCAGCTTGCTCAGGTTGGAGGAGTTGGAGCTCAGAGCTGAGGCCAGAGACACACAGCCCTTTTCTGTGATCATGCAACCTGATAGACTAGAGTTAGAAAAAAATCATGCATTAAACAAAAGCATACAGGTCTTGACTATTTTCTTTTATGAAACTCTACAAAGGGGGGATGAAGATTTTGCTGAAAAACTTACCTGAGAGTTTCCAGTTTACAGTATGGACTTCCTAGTCCAGCACACAGCAGCTTCACGCCTGCATCCTGCAGATCATTTTTACTTAAGTCAAGCTCTCTTAGACTAGAAGACCTGGAGCTGAGGACTGAAGACAGAGCTTCACAGCTTTTCTCTGAAAGGTTACATCCACTCAGTCTAAAGAAGAAATAGGTGACATTAAGTATAATTTTGCTTTAAAGGTGAAAGTTGGAAACCTGCTTATTCCACCTACATAGCTTTGTTAGAGGCTTTGACCACTGGCAGCAGCCTCAGAAGAGCCTCTTCTGAAGCAGAGTATTTCTTCAGGTCAAACACATCCAGATCATTTTCTGTTGACAGTAAGATGAAGACCAAAGCTGACCACTGAGCAGGAGACATTTTCTCTGTCGAGAGATTTCCTGATCTCAGTGATTGTCGGATCTCCTCCACCAGAGAGTGATCATTCAGTTCATTCAGACAGTGGAACAGATTGATGCTTTTCTCTGCGGAAAGACTCTTACTGATCTTCCTCTTAATGTACTGGATTGTTTCCTGGTTTGTCTGTGAGCTACTTTCCATCTGTGTCAGTAGACCTCTGAGGAGATTCTGATTGGTCTCAAGTGAAAGACCCAAGAGGAAGCGGAGGAACAAGTCCAGGTGACCATTTGCACTCTGTAAGGCCTTTTTCACAGCACTCTGATGGAGATTTTTAAGCTTGTGTTTATGTTTTACATTAAAGATTTTTGAGATCAAGGATACTATTGGCACATCTTCCATCAGATTGACTCCAGAGTTGACAAAGGTCAGGTGGACATGAAGAGCAGCAAGGAACTCCTGAACACTCAGGTGGACAAAGCAGAACACCTTGTCCTGATACAGTCCCTTCTCCTCTCTAAAGATCTGTGTGAACACTCCTGAGTACACTGAAGCAGCTCTGATATCAATGCCACACTCTAGCAGGTCTGATTCATAGAAGATCAGGTTTCCTTTCTGCAGCTGCTCAAAAGCCAGTTTACCCAGAGATTCAATCATCTTCCAGTGTGTATCAGTTTCTGCTCCTCCGTCATACTTGATGCTCTTCAGCTTGGACTGAACCAACAGGAAGTGGATGTACATCTCAGTCAGGGTCTTGGGCAGCTCCTCTTCCTCTTTGGTCTTCAGCACATCCTCCAGAACTGTAGCAGTGATCCAGCAGAAGACTGGGATGTGGCACATGATGTGGAGGCTTCGAGATGTCTTGATGTGGGAGATGATTTTGTTGGCCTGCTCCTCATTTGTGAATCTCTTCCTGAAGTACTCCTCCTTCTGTGGGTCAGTGAACCCTCTGACCTCTGTCACAATGTCAACACATTCAGGAGGGATCTGATTGGCTGCTGCAGGTCTTGTGGTTATCCAGAGGCGAGCAGAGGGGAGCAGGTTCCCCTTGATGAGGTTTGTCAGGAGCACATCCACTGAAGTGGACTCTGTAACATCAGTCACAGTCTTATTCTTGTTGAAGTCCAGTGGAAGTCGACACTCATCCAGACCATCAAAGATGAACACAACCTGGAACTCTTCAAACCTGCAGATTCCTGCGTCTTTGGTTTCAGTGAAGAAGTGATGAACAAGTTCCACCAAACTGAACTTTCTCCCTTGTACCAAATTCAGCTCTCTGAAGGTGAACGGAAATATGAACTGGATGTCCTGGTTGGTTTTATCTTCAGCCCAGTCCAGAGTGAACTTCTGTGTTAAGACGGTTTTCCCAATACCAGCCACTCCCTTAGTCATCACTGTCCTGATTGTTTCATCTCTTCCAGGTTGGGAGTTAAAGATGTCTTCTTGTCTGATAGTTGATTCTTGTCTGTCTGGTTTCCTGGCCGTGGTTTCAATCTGTCTGACCTCATGTTCCTCGTTGACCTCTCCAGTCCCTCCCTCTGTGATATAGAGGTCCGTGTAGATCTGGCTCAGAAGGGTTGGATTTCCAGCTTTAGCAATCCCTTCAAACACACACTGGAACTTCTCCTTCAGGTTAGACTTCAGTTTATGTTGCCGCTCTGTGGCAACAGTACCTGAATGAATAAAAAAATGTGATGATCATTCTATTGAATCTTATCAAATTTCTCCTTGGGGATAAATAAAGTTCATCTTATCCTATTCTTCCCATCATCTTATATCTGTTCAAATCTTACCACTCTGCAGACAGTCAGCCAGCTCCTCTTGCTTCATCTTCCTCAGAAAGTCCTGGGTGATCTTCATAAAGGCCTCTCTACTCCTCCTCTGCTCTTCATCCTCATTCTCTCCTGGACTCTCTGAGCATTCTGGGTAATCTGGACTCAAGGCCCTCTGGATCCTCTTCAGCTCGTTTTTTACAAAAGTGATAATGTTCTCCTCCAGAAGCTGGGACAAAACAAAATGTAGACTTTAATTTGAAACTTTAACTAAACCTCAGATTCTCACTGGCCGCCAGGAAGCCTGCTGGTCTTAAATGTGCAGTATGGAGACTGGTTCACAGAGTGGTTTAGTTTTTAGTTTGTGTTACTGACAGTAACCAGATGTTTATGTGATTTAAACTTTGAATTGGAGTCAGTTTGTAAACTTTGTTCTCTGCTGCTTAAGTCTGAGTCCGACCCCTGTTCACCACGACCCCTGACCTCTGACTCTTTACATGTCAGGAATGTAAGGCTTCATTCTGTCAAACCATGAGTTTGTGGGTAATTCAAGCAGAGATGATGTTTGCAGTGTATTTGGGTAAAAGATTCAGGAACATCCAAATAAAGCGAGGGTCTATTTAGATTATCAGTAGTGACTGTGTTTGTACATTTACGCACCACAAATATGAAGTCCAGCTGTGTTTCATGGTGCTGAGAAGACTGACCAATGGTAATCTCTGATCTCTCATGAACTCTGTGGAACAAATACAGTATATTTACATTATTTTCTGCATAAAATTAAACAAAATACTGTGCTACAGCTGGAAAATTCAATGTAGTACGAAATACATGCTGAGAAAAGAGATCCTGATCCTGAAGGGATCCTGGTATGAACAATATGTTAACCTTCACTGTTAAAACACTGACCACAGTTGGGTTGAATTTAAAATATTTGATACAGAACAAAAGTGCTGTTTTAACTTCTTACTTTTGATAGTCAGGAATCTCTCCTTTCTTGAATGTAATGGGGTCAAACATAGACTGGCCACTGTTGATGAACAAATAGCTGGGTTCAGGTGCGTGAGAGTCTGGTCTCTCATCTTCGACACTGACAGAATCACAAACACTGATTGATAAACATGAACATCACAGATTAATAAACCAGATAAAAATGATGCAGAAATCAAACTTCAGAAAACTGTTTCAACTGTTAGATCTTGACACCAACAGTAGAGTCTATTGAGATGAGAATCAGCAACTTTGCCGTGAACAGTGTGACACTGTATGGCAAAAGTGCAAACCTGTAATTCCCCTTCAGCAAACTAAAAAGAGGAGTTTGTGGTGTCCTGAACAAGGTAGGCCTTTCTGCAAAAAGACTGAAGGGGTCCCAAAGTGGCAGAAGTAAGAATTGAGGTCATGATGGGCATGAATTGGAGAGCTATTTAGGCACTTGAGATAGAAGAGTCTTCGTTGAAGCAACTCAGTTACAGCCCCAGACCTCTGATCTACAAATCCAAGGGCAAAGAGAGGTGACTTCTCAAGAAGTTCAACCAGGTTTGGAAGATGACTAAGCAGGATGATGAGTTTGAAATGACAGGGAGCGAGGACAAAGTAGGAATATGGAAAGCAGTGGAGGAGCTCCTGGAATAACACTCCTCAGGCAGACAATTTTTAGTCCAGTTTCGAATCCAAGCCTTGGTCCTCTACTCTTCACCCTCTACCTACTCCCCCTTGGCAATATCATCCGGCAACATGGACTCAACTTCCACTGCTACGCCGACGACATCCAGCTATACATCTCCTCCAGCTCCATCTCCTCCACCACCCTTGCCACCATCACCTCCTGCCTCAATGCAATAAAAACCTGGATGCACCACAATTTTCTCAAACTCAACAGTGACAAATCAGATCTCATAATCATCGGTCCCAAAACCCTCACCAAAACCACCTCAGACATCTCCATCCACGTTGACCAATCCCATATCACCTCCTCTTCACTCATCTACAACCTTGGTATCCATCTCCACCCCAACCTCACTTTTGACCACTGAATCTACCAACTTGCCCGCTCCGCTTTCCTTCACCTGAAAAACATTGCAAGATTCCGCCCCTTTCTCTCCCCATCTGCTGCCAGTCCTCCTTCAAGGTCCTCCTCCTCACCTTTAAGTCCCTCCACGACCTTTCCAGAGTGGATCAGTCGCCTTTGAAATGGCTGGAGAAGAAAGAACCTGCAGCCAAGATCAGCCACTGACCCCCTCACTTCAGCAGCTGAATGGCAACTGAGGGCTGACCTTGACAAGCAGCTGCAATATCCAGAATACATTCCCTCTTGTTTATGGCCATCTTTCCTGATTCCACCAAACAAGCAATAATGGTGGAACTAGCTGCAACTTGGAAGCGCACATTGGATTAAGTAAAAGAGTGAAAATTGGCCGAGCACCAAGACCTGACGGAGCAGAGCAGGAAGCATGGCAGGAAGCATGGCAGGAACAACTGTTTGCTTGTTGAGGTGGGACTTCAGGACTTTGTGAGCTGGACGCTCGCTGGGGTTAGTGGAGCTGACTCAAGAAGAGGGCCATCAAATTTATGCAAACTGGGGATTGAAAAGACCCAAAACACCCAATGACCACAGGTTACATTTATTTGAATATTTCAACTCATTACCTTTGCTTCGATGGGTCAGGTCCACCTTTGAAATCTATAAGTTTGCCTTTGGACCTGCCACTCTTGAGGGACTCACAGCTGACAGCAGGTTTCATTTTAGGTCCAGGTCCTGCAGAGTCTGGTTTTTGCTCGGGGCTTGCACAGACATGAATACAGACAAAGATTATAGTGTGGATAGTAATGTTGGAGTGATGAGAAGAGTCATGGACACTTAAATAACATCATCTCACCTCTGAGCTTTGATTTGGATGTCAGTGTTTCCAGAGGGTGGACCAGCCTCTCTGTCCCCAAACTGATCCATGGCAGAGTTGCCACCTTCACACAAACAATAGTCATGTGTTGCAATAAGCTTTAGATCACAGGACATATTATCTCTCATTCATATCAATAATATGACAGTAGTATACAGGACTTACAGGAATCTTGGTACAACCCCAAACATGATCCAATGAACCCACAATGTGTCACACAGCCCCCAAACTCACCCATAAATGCACTTAAACGTTGAGTATCGGTACAGCTCACTCTTTTTGGACTGCTCACTTTAACAGTTTTGTTCTTTTTCATTCTCAAACAGCTCACCTACCTCTTCATGACCCTGCCGCTGTCATGAACTCAATCTTCTCAGCAAAGGGTTTTGCTCGCTTAATGCCAGGAATCCATGCGAGACACCAGGAAAACACAAGCTGTTAAATTGTCTCTTACCTTCACCATCACAGCCTCTTTACAGTAAGAACAGTTAAGGGGTGTCGAGCAAACACTGGAACAGTTAAGTCCTGGATTGTGCCTCATTGAAACCCTGTCAGTTGCAGTATCGTAAGATATTCTACCTCTGAACTCTCGCTCAAATGACACTCTCAGCTCTTAAGTACAAACTGTTCGTGAATTTTTGCACCTGAGCCAATGTGATGCACGCTGTCAGACCAGTTCAGAAATTTCCAGTATTTTCCAGCGGACTGTTTGAGACAGATTACAACCAAAGTTCTGCTGAATCTTCATGTGTAACAACCTAAAACATGTAAATCTTTCTAAAATCACTGCTCTTTAACTCAGGGAGGAACTCTACAACGTATTTTTAAACAGCCGATGAGCATCGAGGAACATTTCTGCAGTTGAACCCTGATCCAACTCAGTGTGAGTGCTGATCATCAAACATGCACAGATTAACCTGGAAGGATTCTCACCTGGTCAAGTTCAGGTCAGTTCACAGACACTTTCCACCTTCATGTTTGGAGAAGAGAAGCTGCTTGTTTGTCTCCATCAGCTCAAGTGATTACGCACCTTTGGTCTTAAAAACTCTGTTGCATCCTCATAACTTCAGAGTGACATCAGAACCAGTCTAACCCGGTCAGCGTGAAAGACCTCACTGATCACATGATGTAGTTCTACTATCAGACCACCAGATGGTGCAAGTAAATCTTCCACAAGGAGTGATACAGGAAACACATCTGCTCATAAAAATGCCCCACAGGAAGAACTAACGACCATATTAGTCAACTTTTTATTGTCAAAGTACCAAGTCATCTCTGTTTGCATCAGTGTGATATTTCTGCGTAATGAGATTTGTGAATAAATCTGCATCGTGTGTGTTACTCTCTTTTCTCCATTTTCTGCTCCTGGATCAGTGAGGGTTGCATCCTATTCACTCATCACAGATTGGACCTTTAATTACCACAAGGGTATTTAACTTATTTATGGACTGAGATTTACAACCTTAGTTTCATAAGAATAAGGATGCTGTTTCAAACAAAAGTTGATGGTTTGCAAATCAATTGAAGCCTGTGTTACATGAAAAATTGTGCAAAGATAACAAATCAAATGTTTAAGTAAAAAAATCAATTTGCTCAAAAGTTTGTAGTGTTTCAGGAAAGTGTGTTTTAGGTTGTTAGTGTCTTCTTTTTATGGTTTTCAAATGTCTTTTATGTATAACTTGAAGCACTTTAAATTGTGTTGTTAGCCTTTTTTTAGCCCCTAAAGGCCCCCTTACTTACTGAATTCAACAGAGTAACAGGTTACTTTAAGCACTAACTTTTTTTTTAACTAGTTTGAAGTCTTAATTAATAACAAAACAATTTTGAAATTTTCAGCTGCAGATTTTATTTTGAAGGTGAATCATAACAAAAAGTGAAGACCAACATGGACAAAAACATAGATTGTAAGTCACATTTAGTACAGAATAACGCTAAAAAGTCATCACATGATTCATTACATGTATGTTTAGAGCATGAACAGCAAGTTAAAGACAATTAACCTTCAATTTCTGTTTTCCACTCTTTATAAAACAAAAACAAAACTCTTAACTTAATTTCAAATGAAAACCCCTCACAGTGCATACATGTATGTGTCTCCCTGCAGTTAGCATGTTACATATGTTGTTAAAAAAAATTTCTAATGTTTTCAGACAGGCATTAAAAAAAAAAACACTCTAATAACGTCAATAACTTTAAGAAACTGTTCAGGACTTAAATTTATACATCCACGCCTTATCACCCCAAAGCTCCTGACGGTCTCAAACAATAAATACATTTCTGACAGTACCATGATTAGAGAAACAGCAGAAACAAACATTTGAGTGGTAAAAACCAAAGAAAAGTCTGACTTTTGAGGCTCTTTCTGCTCCTTGAGGATAAACAAACAGAGGTAACTAAAGGTCAAACAAAAGTTTACCTGCTGCTGAAGAAAACTTACCACACTACATAAAAAAAACACCAATTCAGACCCACACAGTTGAGAAAAGCACAATGACGGGGAAAAACAGGTTCCCGATGAGGTCCAGAATCCTTTGGAGAAGCTTCCAGGTGTCTGCAGGTGAGAGTTCCTTCACTCTGAGCCAGTGGTCCTAAACATTTCACAAACGTTGGCTCAGTACTGTTGAACTGTCGAGAACCACTGGACCAAAGAGGATCAGCAGAGTCCACCGAGATGTCACACTCTGACTCTGCTTCCTCCATGTTTTATACCCAACCTCCTCTCAAGGGGGCCAGACCGGTCCATCCAGCTCCTCTATATGTATGTGTGTGTGTACGTGTGTGTGTTCAAGGGGGGAGGTGTTACCTGTCGAGCCAGCTGCTGACACACCTGAGCTCCGTTCACGTGTGCTCAGTCTCACCTCACCTGCTCCACCTGTTTGTTCGCCGCTCCGCTGTCTGAGTCTGAGTTTAGGAGGTGATGTAAAAAATGTGGAAGTTTCCTTTAAAATGTTAAACTCCATAGAAGAAGGATTATAAAATGATTAGCTTTACTGAACTGGTTCTTATTCTGATTCTGAAACTGAATTTAAATCCTAATTAAAAAAAAAAAAGTGAGATTCTCCTCTTGATTTTTATGAAAAACTGATCCAGAGCCTGATTTTGATATCTCAACCCGCTTTAAATTCAGATTTAAATTCTGAACCTGATTCTGATTTTGGTCTTTGGCACAATCCAGACTCATACTCCAATCTCAGTCCTCATTGTTATTCTAAAACATAATTTGTTAATGTTTTTTTTTTTTTTTTTTTTTTTTGCTGATTCTGATGTTGAATTTGATTGTAATTCTGATCCTCAAAGTGTTTTGATTTTCACCCGAATCAAGATTCTGATTTATTTCCCAATCCTTAATTTAGTTCTGATCCTAACCCAATTCTAATTTTCTACATTAAAATTGATTCCAATCCTGACCCCTATTTTAAGTCCATATCCATGTCTTTCTAATCCTGGATCTGACCCTGAACCTGATTTTTATCCTTATCCCTTTTCAGACATTGATACTCATTGCTGTCCTGTTTTAATTCTGATCAGGATATTAAATGTGATTTTTATCCAGATTCTGATGCTGTTTTTTTTATTTCATAGGGGAGAGTGGGGTAAGTTGAGCCAAAGGGTAAGTTGAGCCATCTCCTGTTGTTTGGAAATGGTAAAAGAAATTGATCATGTGACCAAATACTTAGGAGATGGGCATCAATTCATGGTGTCTGTGAAGGTTAGAAGCACATGGGTGAAAGGGTTAGACATTTATTTACAAAAAAAAAACATTTTTCACTCTTGAAAGTGAATTAGTCTGTCATAAGTTTGATTAGAATCATTTTAAGATCATTTAGAATTTATTTTATACATCAATTGTGGTATCTATGAGCTACAACATGAGGTCAAAAACCTAACATAAAAGTCCACCATTTTACCTTAGAGGACTTATAAAGTCATCATAGTAGTTCTGGGATAAGTTGAGTCAGTGTCTTAACTGAGAAAGTAAAGGAGTTTGATGAAAGGATCAGAGTTTCAGTTCAGATTGTTGAAATGTGTTACTTTTTCTTTTCAAAAATACAGCTGTGAATGTTCTGAATCACTTAAAGACATTCTCATGTTAAAATATTTTTCACAGAACAGCTTTTTAGCAGTTATATGCAATAATAACAAAAACAATTATTGTACCAGTTGAATAGCGTATAATGGGTAAAAATACACGGTTGTGAAGAAGTGACTGTTATTTAGGGAGAGAGCAGGTGAGGGAGGGCTGGGGTGGAAAGTTGGGGGGTCGTAGGGATACGGCTCAACTTACCCCACTCCTATGGTCAACTTACCCCATACACGGGGTAAGTTGACCATAGAAGACCACTTTTTTTGGCATGCTATGTTATCAAGACAGTTGTGTTTACATTCATTCTGTTGGTTTGCAGGGATGCACAACATCTTGAAATATATGCAGATACACTAGTTAGAGACAAGACTATGATTGTCTTGATGTAGTGATCCGAAATATGAAAAATGTCTCATCTTACCCCACTCTCCCCTAATCCTAATCATTTGCATCTTGATCTTCTTCTCATTTCAAATTAGATCCTGTTCAGAGTTTTTCTTATGATTCTGTTTCAAATCCTGATCTCAAATATTTCCCTGATACAGATCCTGATTTTTTTATCCTAATTCTGATCTAGATGCTGTCTGTTGAAACTGAGTGTTAGATCTTGACTACTAGCCAGTTAGCATGTTAATTTATCTGTACAGTGTCCCAGAGGTCAAAGCTCTTGTGTTTTGAAGCAGACTGTAAAGAATAACTACCTCATTGAGGTTTTATGTACAGGTGTGGATGGCTATGATGAATTAAAAATGTTAATCATTTATATTTTGGTGTTTGAGGTTTTGTCGTGATTTTATTTGCAGCGGTTTAACTATTTGTGTTCAAAAGCTTTTGTTTTGAAAAACACTTCCTCTTTTAATGGCTAATATTTCAGTATTTTAGTTGTGATACCTGACCATCAAGCATCAATCTATGTCATGTGACTTAATGTTTTGGACATTAGTGGTGCTCAGGTGTGCTCCGGTATGATCAGGTGTGTTTCAGGTGAGCAGGAAGTGGCAGGTCCAGCTGCATTCCTCTGTCTGCAGACAAACCTGATTTCACCTGTTCACTATCAGTGACAGCATCACTCAGCTGACACACCTGTTTCACTCATACCTGTGTGACATTCAATGTAAAAGAATACATTAGAAAGACTAACTCTAAAATATTTTTATCAAAACATTGACCTTTAAGACTCTTACTGTAAAATTACTGTTAAATTACCGTAAAGTATTCATCTCAAAACATCAGCCTGTACATTTTTGAAATTATTTATTACCATCTAATATTAACTGTAAAGCGTTACCCTATAAAATAAACAACACACAGGATCTGACTGTAAAACTTTTATAGTGGAAACATTAACTGTAAAATATTTACTGCAAATTTTGTTTCTGTAAAACATAAAAAAGTAAGTTATAGTTGGAAATATTTGTTTTAAAAGATCTAAATTTTTACTGAAAATAATTTATGTAAAAAAAAAACCTGTAAAATACCAACAAATACACTTTATTTTAAAACATCAGCTTGTAAAACTTTGACGTTAAAAGATTTATTTTGAACATCAACCCATTAGACCTACACTGTAAAATTTCTACCCCAACCCTAACCCCCATTCACTATAAAATATCAATTTACAGTTAAAGAAACATTAACTTTAAACATCTACAGTATTTCATTTACATTCATTTCAAATTTTAATTTAAAAAAACCTCATTTTACATTAACTGTATAACATTATTATAGTGATAGAAAAATATTCATTTTAAAACCTCTATGACCTTTACTGTGAAAAATATTACTGTTCAAAAGTGAGTGTGAAATTTACATCCTAAAACCCTGACCTTTAAGATTTTTACCTTTAAAAAAGTTACAGAATTTTTAAAATATTCACAGTTTTACAGTTATGAAAATATTCGTCAGGAAAAATCTACTGTAAAATATCAAGTTTAAAAAATATTTAACAAAAATCTTGATCACAAAACAATAAAGAAACAGTTTTTAAAGTAATATACAATTTTTGAAAGTTAAAAAAATATATATTAAACTGTACAAATTACATTGTAGAACATCAACCTATCACAGTTTTACAGTTAAATATCCACAGAAAAATTTAACCTGTTAAATATTCAACGCAAAAATTCCCTCAAAAATCTTTTTTTTAAATAAATAGATAAAACATTTTACAGGAAAAAAATTCAAATGTAATGCTGTAACACCCAGAAATATGTAACACATTTACTTAAAAATGCTTAAGAGAAGTAAATGCAGCTGAAATAACTACTAATGTTTTCTTTTACAGAAAATACTCACACTGTGAAACTGTATAAATTCTTTTACACTTGGAAATGTACTTTAAATATTTCAATATAAAAACATCTTTTAACCCTTTAAATTTCACTTGTGTATTGAATATTGATCTTAAAAGGTCTAACAGTGAGCTGCAGTGGCATTAAACTCTTTATCACTGTTTCTTTAAATGTAACATCAGATTCAGCTTCACTTCCAGCCTCGAGTTACAAACTCTCACATTCTCAACATTTAATTTCTAATAAAAAAAGGTGATTTACTTTAAGATCATCTGAGCATGTTATTATATCATGTTTGTTTGACAATGTGAGCAGATAAATACATGGAAAATAAAGAAGTTAAAAATAGAAACTGTGCTCTGATGAAACAGGTTAAACAGAGACAGAAACTTTCAGGAACGACAGGAATGAAGAAGAAGATGGACCTCATTCTGCAGCTGGGTGTGTGTATAAGTGTGTGTTTGTGTGGTGACAAGGATGCTATGACAAACAGTGACACAAAGATAAATATACCACAATAATACATTTATATGTGTTCATTTCTTTACAGTCTTAGTCCAGAGAGTGAAGTAGATTTTACTGTAGCAAACTGAAGAGTTCAGGGGGTCATTATGCTTTTCTTTTGATGGGACAGCTTGACATGTTCAGGGAAACTCATCCTCACCATGAAAGAAAAAAGTGCTGCTCTTAATGCAAACTAAATTATGCAGACTTTTATTAATCACATATAAAAATACCTAAATCATCTTTAATCATCTCTTAATTCTACTCTGATGTTTCAGTTCCTCCTCCTGTAGTTCACAGCTAGACCAGCAGAGGTCAGACTATCTCTGTGAGCTACGGTTTCACCTGCAGCCTCACCTGGCACTCACTGATTTAAAGCTGAAGTTGAAATGAATAGTTTCAAATGAATCTTGTACTAAATAACAACATTTTGTTTCTAAACAAGTAAACATAGTCATAAATCTGATTTACTAAACCTGAGAGAAACTGAGGGGAAGAATCAGATAGAAAAACGACAATTACATCAATGAACAAGTAAATACAATTTAAGAACGATCAACATGATAGATGCTTAAGATATGACAGCTTCTTCAGTCTCCAGGCTGATCCATATTGACATATTCAAAATACATGCTGAAAACTGCAATACCCATGAGCCTCTGCTGCTAAAGTTTAAATCAAAATCTTTCAGGTATTCAGTCCCAAGTAACTACATAATTTCAGCCAGAACAAGTAATAACTTGAACGTCTTTCCATCCACAGACATCCTGTGGGGATGTTTGCAGTGGAGATCTGGCTCATTGACTTTATATAGAATGGATGCCGTCGGCCTCCTCGCTGGGTGAAGCCAATCTGAGAATAGCACCCTCTGGTGACAGGCTGCAGTATAGGTCATAAATCTCCGCCAGCCATCCCTATGAAGCTGTGGACAAACTTTAAAAATTTGTTACACAGAATATAAATTTGTCTCCCCCCCGGTTGCGATGTTGACATATAGTTATTGTAAGACTGATTTGTGCTCAAGTCCTCTTTTTTCTGTGCAGCTCCATTTTTAAAAGTTATTAGGGGGTTCATGTTTTCTATGATTGACACCTGATACAGCCTATGGGCGTATGAAGATTGCGTAGCTCACCCAGCGAATCGCCTGCCGAATGCGTACAACGCTACTGTGCAATGTTGGTTTCAGGAAGTGGAGAAAAATTGCAGAAATACCGAGAGCTTCTTAGCTTCAAATCCGTATACTGGTGGAAGGCGGAACCGAGTTGTGCATAGTAAATACAGTCTATGATCGGGCTCAAAACTCTAGAGGTCATTCTAGAAAAACTCTCAGTCTTGGACTTAGTATGGAAATTTTCAAATTTTGACATAAATCTTGGAATATTGACTTTTTCTTACAAATAAGTTCAAAATCTAAATTCGAACTTAAATGTCAAAATGCTAAGATTAGATAAAAAAACAAGGATTCCACCTTCGATCTTGGAATACTGATTTAGATCTCTGAGACCAAGTCTGATTTCTGAGTTCAAAGGTGGAATTTTGGAGTTCTTAAATAAAAGGGCAATAAAAAAAGAAATTCTTTGTTTTTTAAAATTTATTTATTTACTTTTTTATGGCCACCCATCCGACTCTGTAAGGTGCATAGGTAGTTCATTGTCATTGCAAGAGGAAACAAAATAAAACTTTGTTTTGCAGCATTTTTTTTTTAATATCTAAAGAAAAGTTCAAGTAGAAAAGTATTTAAAAAATAAATAAATAAATAAAAAACAAGTATTAGTCAATATATATAAACACAAACATGAAAAATATATATGTGTTTATCTCGGTTGCTAATGTTAAGATTTTACTGTGCATGTTGAGATTTTTCTTTTTGTAACCCCTCACAACAGGATTTTATTGGTCTGAGGCTTTATTTCAGATCTGGAACTTTCAAGTTCCTAAATGGTAGATCTGCCCAATCAGACGGTTCCTCAGGACTCAGCAGCTCAGTCAAACAGGTAACACATATGGCACCAATGGGACCACCAAGACTTACAGTAGCGTCTGCTTTGGCCTTACGAGTCAGACACTCTCCACCCAACCACACGAACAAAATCCTATGTCACTGTGACCCGTCAAAAGTCACATTAGCAAAGATTCAGGGTTAAACCAGCTGCAGCGAATCAGGAGCAGAGAGCATCAGAAGAGCATACATCTGGACCAAACCTTAGGTCAGCTGAAATTTACGACTGGCTTTTAGACAAATACTGAGCAGCAGTACGACTCTATACTAAATCCAAATGAGAAATAGTAAAATAAATAAATAAATAAAACCAATGATAAATGTTTCTCTCTGATGCCGGTGCACTTACAGTTAAAACACCAACTATCCTTTAAACAGAGTTTTTAATGTGACAGATGTGTGTGTTTATATGTGTGCAGCAGTCTGATCTTCCTGTAAGTTTACAGAATCTGTGCAGTTTCAGAGCTCAAACTTCGACACAAACACACAAAACAAACAAAAAAGCTTCATAAAATACTCTGCTCTGTGTCAGTGAGCACTAAAACTCTCTAAAACACACCCTCCTCCTCCTCCTCCTTCCTTCCCGTCAAAGAGCTGATTCTTCTCTCCTCCCTAACACTCTGAACTCTGATTGGCTGAGAGGCATGTAACGCTCGCCTCCTCCTGCTCACTACAGGCTGACCTTTGACCTCTCTCCGCTATATCAATCTGGTTTCATTCAGTTTGGTGCAGAAACACCCTGTGAAGACTCACACAAACTCATGCAGTAAAACCCACCCACACAGAGGTCAGGTTAAAGTATGGAGGCCCATTAGAGTCAAAAGGGTGAAAATGAGCTCAGAAGAAATTCAAGCTGTAGTAATTTATTTTATTAGACTGACAGATGTTAACAATAAATCAAGTATCAAGTTACCGTTGAGAACATATTTTTGTTTGTTTTTTGTAAATGACATAAATATATCTATACCAGCAACAATAGTTACGCCCAACTAAGTCGACCAGCTTATTATAATCTTCTTATAATCAAGAAGAACAAGCTTACAGAAAACTTAGATGCTGGGAGTTTTAAACATCTCTTCAGTTCTGCAGAATTTCCATTTTTATCAGCGTAAGCCTCATTTTGCATGACTATGTGCTCTCAGCGATTATTTTCATGAACCTGTTCTGCGTGTTTATGTTCTGCAGCCTTGTAACACAATCACTTATCCTATATGTCACTGCAAGAGATACAGGATTTGGAGTAAAAACACATTTGGAATTGTTTGATATTAGTTCTCTCCAGATTTCATCAGTTTGATGACAGTCCAGGTCTCAACTCATCTCAGTATACCGTATGGTCATTGATGTATTTATATCTGTTTATATTCTGAAGAAAAGAAACATGAGTACGTTTTTTTCTCTTCTGACATGTTTGTCTTTAGATCTTTTAATGTTTCCCAAATGATATAACATTCTCAAAATAAATTAAAAATTAAAAAATATTTTGTCGTCTGTATAAGTTTTTTTTTCTGTTCTAAAAAAGTATTCTAGTTTCGAAAATAAACATTTTCAATTTATTTGTTTTCCAAAATGCACAGTCATTTAAATCTACATGCATCATAAAAAAATTCTGGAAATTGTTTTTTCACAAAATGTTTTCAATTGTCATTTGCATCTCCAAATTTTTTTTGTTTTCTCTCTCTCTCTCTCTCTCTCTCTCTCTCTCTCTCTCTCTCGCTCTCGCTCTCTTTCTGCAAAATGTGCATTTTGTACATATATATGTGTGTGTATGTGTATACAAAATGCACATTTTTATTTGCACCTCTGATATAAACTGTTTTTTTTTTCAAAATTAATTTGTGTATTCAAAATATTTTTCAAGTAAGTCATTCTCCACAAAGCATTTATTTTCAGAATTTATTCCAAAGCCAAATTACTTCTTTCCTTTTTTTTTTTATTTAAAGATACATAAATGTCTTTAAAAATATTTTTTATCCTCACATTAAGCATTAATTATTTTTGTCATTAATGGGCTTCCGTATATTCACAGAAATATCCCCAGAGACGCCCACAGGAATGACTGAACAAACTTTACACACACAGAAACGCACACACACACACACACACACACACACACACACACACAGTCACAGTCACAGAGGCTGTGCAGCAGCGTGTCAGAAGTTTTCGAGCGTCTCTCAGGTAAGAGGTTTCTCTGTTTGAAGCCATGTTAAATCTGATTATTACTCCTGTCTTCATGCAGCTGCAGAGGTGAATCATGGAAAAGTCTTTGGTTGGATGTTTGCATAAAAAGCTGCACATGCATGTTTTATTTCATGTGGTAGTAGCAAGAACTTTTTGGAGTCACAAAAAGTCTATTCAGACAGTTTCTGCTTTCTAATGATTAACACGTTTAACGACCGAACTGTGTCACTGGGTTACAAGTCATACATGTCAGTCTGAGGGTTTTATTGGTGCTGACACAACTTTATTTAAACAACATGTAGACAGGGAATTTTTTTAATTCACTCGTTCACAGACAAAAATCATAAAGTGGATGAATAATTTCCAACTGTTCAGTAGTTTTGCCTTAAACACGAACTTGATTATATTTGATTTTTTTTTTTTTACATTTGATGTCTTCTCGACATATTAATGCTGATCAGTTGCTAGGGAACATAGCACTATTTTGTTGCATTTTGCTGCAAGACACAAAATGACACTGAGCATATTTGACTCAGAATAAACAAGCCAGATTTGTAGAGAGGACACTAAGTTTTAAGGGGTCCACATAGATAAACTTTAATATGTCTCTTTAGTTCTCTAGGATGCCCATTAGTCTCCACACAAGTGTCAGAGTCTTCTTGGAGTCAACCTTTGAATTAAGCAAAAAGTTATTTTTTAAAATTCTATCCTATTTATGTCATTGTGTTTTGTTTTTATTCTGCAAAAATCTTTAAATGTTTGTAGGATTTTTCTTTTGTGTATTAAGTTCTGTACTTTTGAGCTTTTTAAGTCTTTTGACTATTTTTTGCTGTCTTAAGTTATCAGGTGTTGATTACCTTAGGAACTGACTTTATATTGTTCATGTAATTTTGTTACAAGATGTTTTAACATTTTTGCTGCTGTCTCCAGTTTTAAGTGCTTTGGATGTTTTAAGTCTTGTTAGGTTGAAGTATTATGTGTTTTGAGGTATTTCTGGATGTTTTGGTCGGTTTAAAAAAAAAACATTTGGTTTGACATTTGGTTTCGAGGGTTTTCCTTGTGTGATTATTTTAAAGTTAAAAGATATTTTAATTTCTAAACTGTTTTTTATTGTTAAAGATGTTTCTAGCTATTACGGGTTTCTGTTTTTTGTTTTTGGAATTATTATTATTATTATTATTATTATTATTATTATTATTATTATTATTATTATTATTATTTTGCTGTTTCAGAAGTCTGAAGGTGTTTTTAGGAGTTTCATTTAATTTTATTTATTTGTTGTTTTTCAGGGTCTCAGGTGTTGTATCATTTTTATATATAGTTCTTTAACTCATGTTGGTTTTATTGAAGCTTTTTATGCATTTTATCTGGATTAGGTTTTCTTCAGGGGTTGCATGTGTTCTGTTTTGGTTTCAGTTGGTGTTAACAGAAGTTCACAGGTTAGGTACATCTTGGTGTTTAAAGGTTTTTTCAGGGGGACTGATCTGATCACATCAAATGTTTAACAAACAACTTTCAGCTCATTCATCAATAGAAACTACTATCACACTGATCCTGTGAAAAATCAAGACCTGGTGATTACTGAAACTTGCTCTCTCTCTCTCGCTCTCTGTCCTTCTCTTTGTCTCTCAGCCATGCTATCCTTAGCCGCCCCCTCGCTCCGTCTCGGGGTCTCCAGTTGCCATGGCAGCACGCGCTCTATAGCGACCGTCATCTCTGGCATCAAAACATCAAAGTGAGTCAACTCACCTGGATTCTCATTATTGTGTGTGACCTTTGACCCGTGAGGACCGACTTTGTGTATGTTTATGTGTGTGTGTCTGAAGGCTGGTGAGGGAGCGGCTGAAGGTGGAGGTGGAGAAGATGAGGAGTCAGTTTCCAGGGTTCAGACCGGGACTCGTCGTCCTGCAGGTCAGACTCATCTGCTGCGATTATTTTACAGATCAACTTTATTTTTCCACACAATTTAACAAGTGGTTTTTAAAGGACTTATACTTACGAAAACAACAGGGGGACTTAAAGGCTTATCCAGTAGTGTATATGGGAGTTTTCAACAGCTTGTGTTCAACAGGTGGCACTATTCCTATGACAAAAATATGTCAATCAGTTCAGGCCGGAACCATCATCAAACCTGTCGAATTTAGAGCAGATTTGACATTGCATGTGTTTCCACGAGTGTCGCTATCATAGCTGAAAAGTGGGCATAACAATGTGTTTCTGGATGGAGGTTGATCATGTTTGTAAAATATCAAACTGAATGAACACTGTATGGAGGAGATATACCAACTTCCTGTTATACAGGGAAGTTTTACAACCACCAAAACCCAAAAGCTTGGACTTCAAAAGAAACTGATCAGCCTAGAGTTAATCAAATGTGCTGCCTATAAATGGCTAAAAGCAGACATTCAACTCAAATTTCTGGGGGAAAAAAAGAAAGAAAGGAAGGCTAGAAGAAAGATAGAAAGAAAGGAATGGAGTAAGAATAGGGATGAAGAAAAGGACAATGAAAAAAGAAGTAAGGACGGAAGGAAAGACAAAAGAGAAAAAAAAGGAAGGAAAAGGGAGAAAGGAAGGAGGGAAAGAAGGACAAAATAGATGGATAAGAAGGAAGAAGGAAGAACAAAACATAAATAAAGATAAAGAGATTCATAGAGGAAGAGGAAGGAGTCATTTACAGTCAGGATGAACAGAGTTAGAGAATTGTGTTGACATGCTGCTCCTTTGACAGATGTGAGGTTATTTCTGGAGTGCTCAGCGTGTGTGTTAAGAGCTGAAAACAGGTCTGAGATCAGGGACACCTCACATGTGGTGTTCAGACTGTGGACTCTGCAGGGACTCAGGCTGGTCTGAACCTGCTGTGTTTGCTGCAGCTGCTCCTCTTCTCACAATCTCTGATAACAAACCTTCAGCCTGCAGAGTCACACAGTCAGGCAGCTTCCTGTTTAAGAGTAAGAAGGGGTAAAAAGGTCTCGGTGCAGCTCCAGAGAGCTCTGCAGGGTTAATGCACAGATACACAGTTTTAGTTTCTCAGGGTTTGTTCACAAAAAAGTAAAAGCAATTGAGAAATCAAGACCATGTTCAAAGTTCATATGTGTGTTTCAGGTCGGGGACAGAGATGACTCGAACCTGTACATCAGCACCAAACTGAAGGCTGCAGCTGAGGTTGGAAAAAGTTTCTTCATCATGAGGGATAAAAACAAAAAAATATATATATAATTTAAATGAGAAAATATCTCCTGATTTCCATCTCATCACGTCTGCAGATCGGAATTGAGGCGAAACACGTGAGGCTGCCGAACACAACGACAGAGGACGAGGTGAGCCGGTCTGTGATCTATGAGTCTTACAAATCACAGGGTGACAGGTGGTCTGACAGGTAGCAGTCTGATGAGTGGGGTTCTGACACATGCAGTTCAGTCCTGACTGTGTTGTTTTCATGATGGTCCTGCAGGTGCTGCAGAGCATCATGTCTATAAACCAGGACGTGTCAGTCCACGGTCTGATCGTCCAGCTGCCTCTGGACTCTGTGAACTCCATCAATACTGAGCTCATCACCAACACAGTCAGTCCAGAGAAGGACGTGGATGGGTCAGTGCTGCAGGTCAACACACCTGACGACACACAGCTAGGAATCTGAAATGAGTGTGTGTGTTTGTGTCTGTCTGTGTATGCAGTCTGAGCTGTATTAATGCAGGGAGGCTGTCTCGAGGTGAACTCAACAACTGCTTCATCCCCTGCACCCCCAACGGCTGCATGGAGCTCATCGCACAGACAGGTAATAACACACTCTTAAAAAGGTTGGGTTAAAACAACCCAATTTGGGTAGTTTCCCAACCCAGTGCTGGTTAAATATTGGACAGAACACATGCTGGGTTAATTTTACCTAAGTAATAGGGTCGATTTACTTAACCCAACAATTGAGTTGTTTAAACCCAGCATTTGGGTTGTTAATATTTGATATAATATTAAATTACTTTACTGCATCAGATTTCATAAAGCACTATATCAGAGAACCTCAAAGCACTTTACATTGGATACATCATTCATTCGCTCACACAGTCACACCTTGGTGTTGGTAAACCACCTTAGTAGTCACAGCAGCCCTGGGGCCAGTTTGCACCTACAGCCTCTCCGACAACCATAACACAACACTCACAATCATACACCAGTGGAGGACACACACTGGGAGCGAGGTGGGTTAAGTGTTGTGCCCAAGGACACAATGGACAGACTTGGGATAGGGGGGAATCGAACCGCCAACCTTCCAGTTATTGGACGACCATTCTACCTCCTGAGCTACTGGCACCCCTTAACCGCTCTCTTTCCATTTTACTGATGGAGAATGGTTTAATATGGTTTTCTTCTCTTTTCAAAATAAATAATACAGAACAGGAGGTTGTATCTTGCATCCACTCCACTCTACATCACAAAGTCATCCATTGATTGTTTGTATCAACCTGAAACATCTAGACAGAGAGTCCACTAAAGCAGTAGTTTAACATTTCTGACCACACCAAAAAAAATGAAAATACAACCCAACTTTTTTTGTGTGTGCACCTAATCTCTATGGTGCATCACCTACATAACCACCTCACCTGTGACTTCCTGTTCCTGTGCAGGTGTGTCTGTGGCGGGGAAAAACGCAGTCGTCATCGGTCGCAGTAAGATCGTCGGCGCCCCGATGCACGACCTATTGCTGTGGAACCACGCCACGGTGACCACCTGTCACTCAAAAACAGCAGACCTACCTGAACAGGTGGGCCGGGCTGAGATCTTGGTGGTGGGGGCGGGCAGAGCTGAGATGGTGAGAGGAGAGTGGGTTAAGGAGGGAGCCGTGGTCATCGACTGTGGGATCAACCACGTTCCAGGTAAAGACCGCGGTTTGTGTTGCACTCATTGGTTCCTGATCATGTGTTTAAAGTCAAAAATGGAGGTCACCATGCTACCATGTTCTTAGTTATCCACATATCTGTGATGTTTTCGTAATCATGAGTCTGTGTAACCTTTGACCTCGGCCAGACGAAACCAAAGCAAGTGGCAAACGTGTGGTTGGGGATGTCCACTATGCCTCAGCCTATCAGAGAGCAGGATTCATCACACCTGTTCCAGGAGGGGTGGGGCCAATGACGGTAGCCATGCTCATGAAGGTGCTGTGGTCCAAGTTTGACTTATCTTTGATTTTCCTTTTTTCTGATCTTCATGAAAGAAAACAGAGAGGCTGACGTTAATCACAGATGTTTATTGATCTTGGGTGTCTATTCAAAGTGCTTGTTTGTTTGTTTGTTTTTTCAGAACACGGTGCAAAGCGCTCAGCGGTTCCTCCTGAAAAATCAGCGAAGGTGAAACTGAAACACTTAGAGGTGAATCTGCAGCTCCTCTTTATCCATCATTTTAACAGATTATTAGAAATATTAACACTCAATGATTCTTTCCTTATCAAAAAAGTTGGGCTTTCTAAAGTCAGTTTCACTTTTGTGTTTGTTTTTCCATTTTTTTAGTCTTTTAAAGGTGGGGTAGGCAGGATCTGAGGAAGTGCTAGTTTTTGGGAGAAATCTTGAATGTAAACACTACCCCTCCCAACCAGTTTTCCCCTCAGCTCCTCCTCTCCTCTCCCTCTCTGCTCCAGAAAGCCCCGCCCACAAACAGACGCTCCTGCTCGCTCGTATCACTTCAATTAAATTCAGATATAATGCAGATAAATACTTGAGATAATTACAAATGTAGGACTTCTACAACTAGGATAAAGTGACATAGTCCAGGACCCAAGGTAAACAGTTAAGCGGCGCTTAGCTTACTTTGTTAAAGCGGTTTACCTGTCCAGCAGAAAGGTTACAGGGTCCATAAGATCCTGAAGCATGTCCCACCGTTTCATGTTGACCCGGCTTTTTAGCTCTTGTCCGGTCTACCTCTGTTTTAAGTGTCCGTTAGTCTGCCAGAGTCTCTGGTATTTTATTCGTTTTCTTGCTTGTGTTTTCCGTACTTTCTGGTTGGTTTCTACTGTCCGATGTTGTGGCCAATCACTTTGTTTGAGCTCGTGAACATCATTCCAGGATGTGGAGCGTGCCTCACAACACGAGAGAGCAGCGTCCACCTCACAACCAATCAGGTTGGGGGAGGCGGAGAACAGCTTTGTTTACAGTCAGAAAGAGCGGGCCACTAAATAATTGTTTAATGTTGACTACACAGACATAAGAGAACACAGCGATATCATGATATTCCAAAATGTTATCAATAACTAATAGCTATTGACTGATATTAAAAGTTTTTTTGTAAATACACCACAAAAAAAAGATGTTTCTTTAAAGGAATCCTGCCTACCCCACCTTTAATTTTCTGTCATAAAAACCTCCAAAAAGAAAACACAGACACTTTAATGATAACACAAAAACTGTCACATCAGTTTTTCTTCTTTTTATTTTTTTTATTCTGTAACATTTTCTTTCAATCGATCAAACAATCGATCGTTCAGTGCCATGAACAGATCAGGTTGAGTCCTGTCAGTCTGTGCTCAGGGTAAATTGTCTCCTCCTTTTTGCAGGTCAGAAGGGTGAAGAATCAAAAGTCGCTGTGTTTATTCAGGAGCCCGAAGGTCGTCGTCATGGAAACAGACACCAGCTGTTTCCTGCTGCAGTCTAAAGACAACAGGAAGTGACTGAAAATCTGACCAGTGCAACACGATTCATCGATAAGGAATAAAATGATGTAAAATGATGATTTTTAATGTTAATTTAAAATGATTTTACTCTTTTAATTTGATTAATTTTTTATCAGTATTTCTGGAGCTCTGCTTGAGTTTCTATGAAGGGTTATGAATAAAGTTTCTTTCAAATTGAAATTTTTCCTTTTTTGAGTGTTTTTTGAGGGGGAAGTTTTTGCCTTTCTTAGTTTGGACAGCAGTAGAGAAACAGAAGCATGGAGAGTAGAGAGTGAAGGAAGACATGCAACAGAGGGCTGTGGCCGGGAATCGAACAAGCAGCTGCTGTGGCACGGTCTGCAACCTCTGGAAGTGGGGCACTTGAACCACAAAGCCATCTGTGCCACTGACTTTAAAATTTTGAGGATTAAACTTGCTCCCTTTCACCCAACCAAGCTTTGACCTTTGACTTCTCTGATGTCAGTTTAAAGTCTGGATGACCCTTTGAGCAGCGAGCGTCTCTCTGAGCTCACCGCCCAACCCTCTCTGCTCTCTGATCAGCTGATCTACGGCTGCCCTCATGGCAGCTCTGACTAGAGAACGAGCTGTCTGAATTAGCTGCTGCTCTCCGGGCTCTGAGGTGAGGAGCAGGAGGAGGAGACTGTGGTTCTCTAAGGAGGAGCTGACCTCCCAGACCTCCTCGTCTTCATCAGCCAGAGACGGATCGTCCGGAGGAACCAGCTGGATAAGGATGGAAGGTCCGTTAGGCTGAAGGAGGCATGATGGGACGGGATCAATCTTCTCCTCTTGATCTCCTTCTGGTGGTGGGACCTCCTGGAAATCTTCACCATGAGTATTATCTGTTTGTTTCCCAACCTCCTCCATCTCCTCCTCCAGGGCTTGTGTTTCGGTTCTCTGTGGTTCATCACTCACCTCAGCTCTCACCTTCTCCAGACTTCCTCCAGTCTCCTCCCTGGTCAGAGCAGCAGGAGCACCCTGCACGTCTTCACGCCGCTGCATCTCCTCTTCATCCTCCCATGTGGACTTCCTGCTCAGGAAGTCTCGCAGTTTTTTCCTGAAGCTCACGGGAAGTTCATCCCCGTCCTCGTCTCTGTCTGCAGAGTCTCTCCTCTGGGTCAGGAACCCTCTGATCCTGGACCAGGTCTTCACTTTAAACCTGTTCCTCCCTGTGGAGACCTCTTCACTGTTTTCTTCTTTGTTTGTGTCATTTGGTGCAGTGCTGCTTGTCTCCTGCAGCACCTCCTCTGGTGGAGAACACCAACTGTTCTTCCTCTTCTCCAAACTGTCCTCATCTTCTGTCCTCCACCTCCTGACACAGATCAGCTCAGGTGAGAACCTCCTCCACCACCTTCGTTTCCTCACCTTCCTGTTTCTGGCATCACCATCTGCCCCCCTGGAGTTCTCTTCGTCCACTGCAGATAAAACATCTTGGCTGATGTCGTCTGTCTCCGGAGACTTGAGTGAGGACTTGTTGTTATTCCGGGTCTTGGTTTGGTCTGAGCTCCTGGTCCTAGTTCTTCTAGGCAGCAGCAGCCTCGGTGGGCCTGTCAGCTTCCTCCTCAGGGTGATTTTCTCTACTTGCTGGACGCAGTCTCCGTCCTCTGACTCCATGTTTAAACACAAAGCTGCAGGACACAAAGAGGACTGGTGTAAAACTGTTGGTTCACAAACTTTGTTTCCTACTTTCTTCAACACTTAAGAGTTCAGTCAGAAAAGCTGAATGGCTAAGAGTTCAGCTCTTGGTGATTTTTTTTTACAGCATAATGACTCGAACCATGGCCCACAGGATCTGTTCAGCTTCTCAGAACACACTCTGTTCGCCACTGAAGCTGAAATAACAAACCCTACACACATCAACGTGTCTGCAGGCTAATCTGAGGCGGTTGGTTCTTAATTTTATGTAAATCTGAGCTGCAAAAATATCAGAATTCACAACATATCAGTGACGCATACATAATAAACTGATTAGCTGGATGCAGAAAAGCACATCTATGTGTTACGTCTACAAAGACTCTCAAAATTAGCTAAATTACGTGACAGTTGGCGCTGTCTGCAGAAAACTGTATCCTAGTTTGCGTGCTGGTTCTCCCTGCAGTTTCTTATTGAATGGACCAGAAAAACACTTTGGTACACAACTCATAAATCCTCACTTTGAAATAATAACTAATTAAAAATTATAGAACACAGGTGTTGTAAGAACTCCTCTCATTAATATAACGCAAAAATTTTAATAGAACGATAAACACACAAAAAATGAGCTACAACAGGCAACACAATCCTCACAGAGGCAGTAAACAATAACCAGAGAACTAAAACACCCCCAGAGCCTCAGGACTAGAGAAGAAACTTCACTCTGTGACTGTAACACGAGTCCCTGTCAGGTGTGTCCGTCACTTCGATGACTTCATCATCTCACCTGAAGCCCATCAGTAAAATAAAAAGCTGCTCACCTAATGGAGGGTCTCCTTCCAGTTTGTCGAGCTGATCTGTTTCTCTGAGAGCAGAGACACACTGAGCTGAAGGCGCGCTCTCCTCCACCCCCTGTTTCCATGGCAACATCACTGATTGGCGTTTAGCTTTACAGAGACTGTTCCCACCGTACAGGGGGTGATAACCACAGGGGTAGGAAAACAAGGTTTCTTTTCTGTAATGAGATTCTCTGAAATGACATTTGTACCTTCAGAGTTTGTGAGAAAAAATCAGGGTATTAAAAAAACGAAAAAAAAAAAAAAGAGATTAATGAGAGGAAACAGGAGAGAAAAAGAGGAGTGTGAGGAAGAGGAGAATCATTCAGAGAGAGGAAGAAAATAAAACAGAGTTAAGACAAGTCTACTCAGAGGGAGCACAGAGCACAGATACAGAGTCAGAGTAGGCGTGAAGAAAGGTCAGAGTAATGACATTAGCAATAAAAACCAAGAAAAACAACCTCAGAGACAGAACAACACAGAGATACATGAATGAAAGTAAATATACAACAAAACGTAAAGATATATGGAAAAAAAAAACTGAAGATAAAAACGCCAACAAAAAGGGACAAAAAAATCACAAACTTTACAAAGAGATGCAAGAATAAGAGAAAAGGGACAACAAAACACCAAGATACAACAACAAGGTCCAGAAACACGACAGAATAGATATCAAAAAGGGACAGACTCACAAAAAACACAAAAATGGAACTACCTGTATGCAAAAAGTCACAAAGATACAAAAACACAATTAATATATGAATCAATACAAGAGATAGATAAACTTTAAATAAAAAAGTACACAAAAGCACAAAAAGTCATACAGAACTAAAAAAAGAACATCACGAAGACACTGACACACAAAAATCCTCACAAAGAACCAAAAATAAAGCTCTCACAAAAACAAAATAACAAAAAAAAAATCAAGGTGCATCACCTCAGCAACACAAAAAAACAAAAACAACAATTGTAAAAACAGCAACAAAGACTCAAAACAACCACAGAGACATAAAATAACTGATGCTGCTTTCGAGTTACCTTGGGAGTCAGATACCTGAGCTGGGAATTACGTCACACCTGAGTTACCAGTACCAAGTCGGAAAAAAGCAAAATCAGAGGCAGAAACAAGTTGGCTACATCTACGAGAGTTATTTTAGCGCTTGCCTTGTCCTTGCTTATATTCGGACAAAGCAAGCGCTAAAATTACTTCCATAGATGTAGCCATCTTGTTTCTGCCTCCGATTTTGATTTCTTCCGACTTGGTAACTGGAATACTGGTAACTCGGGTGTGACATTCCCAGCTCAGACTTCTGACTTCAAAGGTAACTCTAACGCGCCATTAATAAACACAAAATAGTCCCAAGCCATAACAAAAAACAAAATTAAAAAAAAAATATATATAAATAAATAAAAAGGTGCATCGTGACAGCAACAAAGCCACACACACACACAAAAAAACAATTACTAGCAAACAACAAAGACTCTTAACAACCAAAGAGTCACAAAACTCCATTAGTGACTCAAAACAGACTAAAAACAAACCATTACAGCAAAATAATAAAAACAATTTAAAAAATCACATAAAATAAATAAATAAATTAAAAACCTGTCCTTCAAAATAAAATCACAGACAGGTGTAGGGAAGTGTCTGTGGATCTGTGGCGTACAGACAGGTGATCAGTGATTGATTGATCTACGGTACACAGACGGTGTATGTGTGTGTGTGTGTGTGTGTGTGTGTGTGTGTGTGTGTGTGTGTGTGTGTGTGTGTTCGTGTCTAATTTTAATGGTGAGAAGAAGAACCACTTCAGTCTTTGTTTCTATAGCAATGAAGGTAAAAATACCTCCTGTGTCCCTTGGCAACGGCTGCTCGGCCAATCAGAGGCCCTGACAGGTGAGACAGACGCCTACACCTTCATGTTGGTTTTTAGTTTAAGTTATTAATTAATGTATTGATAAACTGAGAAGGGATCAGAAACCCTCCAGATTGATCAGGATTAAAACCTGAAATCAAAAAGAGCTGATTGATTATGAGTGTTAATGTTGTCATTATTGATGGTGTCATCAGCAATAAAATTAATACTTGTGACTCAAACGTATTACAAATCACATCATGCCTCTTGTCCTCAAAGGCCACCATCACTTCACTATCAGGAGGGGTGAGCAAGGGAGCATCTGAGTCTTGAGTCTGGCCACTAAATATCCTCATGTTTTTATCCACTAACTGTGCCTTTCATAAGATTGATCTTAAACTACAAAAGCAGGTGTGAAACATCAATTGTCCCCCCATTATTACAACATTTTTTTAAATGATGATACAAACATACCACAACTCTTCTGAGTCTTTTATTTTGAAAGAACACTATTAATCTGTACATTATGTCTAACATCACTCAGTTTCCCAGAATGCCTGGAGGCAGTTTGGTTCTGAGATCTCTGCTGATACCTGCTGGACAGAGTGTGTTACAGCAGGAGCTACAGCACGATCTTCCAGGTGTGATAAAAAAGTTATTTTTAACTACCTGTGAGTGGAAATTATATTGATCCTATGCTCACATTTGAATATTGGATAAATTTTGTCCAAAACACTCAATACAAGAATTCAGAGAGCCTGAAAAGCCACGGAGTTAATAATTTTATGTTTTTAGACATTTTATTATCATGTTTAATTGCGGATTTATTCAAAACTTTATTATTTCTTTAATTAGTCAATCATGAAGTAGTCGATTTAATTTTTAAAAAATGATGTGCATTATAAAATTAGATACCAGAGCTGTAATCCGATCAGTTGAAAAAACATTTATTTACAAAACTTTATTGTTCCATTGATGAAAAACAGACATCTATGTACACAAAACTTCCTGTAGGTTTTTTTCTTTTCTTTTTTTAACAATGACACAGAATGAAGGAGACATCACAACTGTCAATCAAACACCCATCAATCAGTAACCAATAACAGAACGACTGCTGGTAATGTGACAGCACAGAGCTCAATGTTTAAAGGACCACACCACTGTTTTGTTGGTGATTGTCAGAGCAGGGGCCTATTCTACGAAGCAAGTTTAACCTAGTGAGGTAGCCTTGGAGCCAGCTGTCTCACTGAACGGTCTTATGACGCTGATTATCAACCTCGTCAGTGGGCGGGGTTATTATACTCTGTGAGTTCAATCTGGAACCTAACCTGCCCTGGAGCAGGTTAGCTGTTCAGCGTACGTTGCCATGAAGACTCGCCTCGCTAAGACGTAAACCCGCGTCGTAGAACAGGAAACCCCGAACTTACCCTTGAAGTTACCTCGCTAAGCAGTAATCCTGCTTCGTAGAACAGGCCCCAGGTCTGATCTCTTTTAAACTTTCATCAAAACAGTTTGTCTTCTGTTGTTCTAATAGATATTTCCATCCTGCTCCCTGCAGGTGTTTCTATGCAGGTTTGACAGATTATTTTGAGGCAGAATGAGGCTGTTGGAGTTCTCACATAGATGCTGAGCTGATCATATCAGCCACCAACATTAAGATGCTTTTCAACAGCAGGAACTCCAGAACTTGGTGATTTTTGGATTGTACCACAGATGTTCTTCTCAGATCATCCTACAGTGTAAAGTGTGTTAAGAGTGTCTTTACTTCCCCCTTACCTGCATGGAAGAACCCAACCCAACTGAGCAGGAGGAGGAAAAATCAACCCAAAAACTCAAATCTTAAAGAACAGCGGTCTGGTCCTCTAAGGTTATTTTTAAGATCTAAAGCTCCTGTGGGGAGTTTTTTTTTTAATGTTATTAAAACAGACTGAAATTCACACTGAAGCCTTTTTTGTGATATACAAAAGCAAACAAGAGCATCAGTGACAAGACTGACGATTTCCCATTGTAAATTTTAAGGCCTGAAACTGGTGTGAGGGGTAGATGTCAGCCCTGTTATTACGTTGTCTGCAGAGGATTTTCACCATAAATGATTCATAGAAAGTCAACAGAATGAGATTTTTTTAGCAGAAGACATGACTTAATCATGAAAACATCAGCAAAAGGTGCTTTGTCCACAGTCAAATTTGTCACAAACCTAAAATTCCTCACAGGAGCTTTAAAGCGGAGCTCAAAGAAAACTAAACTAAACCGAAGTTCGATCACAGATGAAAAGGTTCTTCACAGTTTTACAAAAAGAGAACAATTTGGTGCAAAAACAGCTGGTGGACAGATTCTTCTTATTTTCTCAGATTGTCCCGAAGCTCTGGTTAACTGACGACACAAAGGAACTTGAAAGCATCACGAAGGCACTGCTGCTGCTCTCATCACTTTCTGTTCCTGTCCCCCACATTAGGTTAAAGGAACAGTCTGACATTTTCACACACGGTCCACCTCACCTGTGTCAGAATGAGGCGTTCACTGTCCGCTGGTGAGTGTGGAAGATTAGGATTCGACATTTCAGTCTGCACAGCTGTTAGCTCACAGAGACGGAAAATAAATTAATCAGAAGACTGTGGATGTGACCTGAAAGGTAGAGCTGCAACTTACCGTTAATGTTTTATTGGCTAATCTGCTGATTATCTATCAGATCAATGAAACGTCAGATCTCAAAGCTTTCTGTCATGAACTTGTTTCTTATCAATAAAGACAAAAAACAGGAAGTTAATCAATCACAAAAACCTGACACAAAATAATCAAAGACCCATCGATCAATATGTAGCTACTGATTGATTGTCTGCTGATCAATAATCAGGTGACCGTGTTAATCTTTGTGTTGCAGCTCAACTAAAGGTCATGGACTAAGTAATGAAACCAATAACCCACCGTCACAGCACCACACTATGATCACATGACTTAATCACACACACGCACACACATACATACTCTTAAACACGCATTCCCACACACACACATACATACGTTCACACACACCTGCACGAGTAGAAGACAGCAGCAACAGCAGAGACACAAACAGAACAACAACACAATCCTCAAAGTCATTTTGTGCCTACACAACAGAACCACCTGTGAGCTCTCAGCCAATCACCTGTCGATGTCATCACCCACATCATGATGTCATCACTCCACAGGTACACCCTCCACACTCTCCTGGGAGATCTCAGAGTCCAGGGAGTAGCAGGAGCTGCCGTTGTCCTGAGTGTCCCTGTTCGGCTCCTCAGAGAGCGTTGACACACCGGTCGAAGCCCCGCCTCCTGCTCCGCCCCCTCCTGTGGGCTCACTGCCACCTTCACAGAAGTGGGCGGAGGCCTGAAAGAGCTGGCTGCAGAGGCGGTTGTACCGGTGGTAGCGTGATGGTTTGCCAGTGTGGGTGTACATGTGCTCCTGTAGCTGGCTCTTGTGGGAGAAGCGGAGGCTGCAGACGGCGCAGGCGATCTTTCTTTTACGTGAGTGCAGGACGGCAGGGGCAGGGCTGCCTCCACCTCCACCTCCTCCTCCCCGGCTTCTCCTTAGCTCTGCAGCCAGCTGGTTGGCGAGTGCCTGACTTTGTCTCAGCGCTTCTTCGAGACACCCTGCATCCAGCTGCTCTTGGCTTCCCGGAGGCCCCTCCTCAACACCAGCGTCCAGTTCGCCGCTCTGTGACAGCCCCTCCATCAGACGGGCAGGATCGAGGGCATGGGTGAAGAGGTGCTCCCTTAGACCCTCAGGGGAGGAGCAGCGCTCTCCACAGCGGGGACACAACAGGACCAGAGGCCGGTCTTTGAACAGAAGGCCCTGATTGGGACTACTACCCTGAGCTGGAGATGGTGAACCCGCCCCCTGCCCCTCCTCCCCCTCACCATCCTCCCCATCCTCCTCCTCCAACCGCTCCTGCTTGATACGACTGGAGATGTCTGAGTCATCTCCTGAGGCTACTGAACAGACATTACGTAGGGCAGAGGCCTGGTGATCCGATTGGACCCCCTCCAGTCCCACGGCCAGAGACAGCTGGGAACTGGACCGACCCCCACGGCCAGAGGAGCGTCCATCCTCTGGGGCCCCACGGGACACTGTGGTGGACTTCGGGACTCCTGGAGTGTCTTTGTTGGCCAGCTGGGAAGAGATCTGGATGCCATACAGGTTGGACATACGCACCACATCAGTGGCGGTGTCTGGAACACCCTCACCTGGTTTTCGACACAACTGGTAGGCATGAAGGAATTTGATGCCGTCCTGCAGCCGACTCTGATCCACAGGCTGTTTGGGACACATGCCTGTGTACATGATATGCAGCAGGTAGCTAAAGACGTCCGGCTGGATATCTGTGGGCTGGATCTTAATACACTCACTGGGGACAAACACACACATGAAGCAATAAGACCAACATGAGAGTTTGCCCTGAGTCAGGACTGTCAGGTGATCCTCCCTGCCTCCTCCTGAGAGTATCAATTATTTCGCTTTGAGGGAGTTTTCAACTTTAACTCTGCCTGAGAGAACCAGAGTTTAGAAAAACAGCTCTAAAAGTATAATAAAGTATCATCTGCAAACAGGTTGAACTTGGATTTTACTCTAGCACTGTGTGTTCTGATGAGATCCTCAAAACTGACTACATGGAACATCTGCTGTGAACTTTCTTAGCTATGGTGAAGATTCATTATCTGTCTGACTCTTTTCAATTATATTTTTCCTCTATTATTCTGTAAACCTTTATGAAAAGTTAATAAGTCATTGTCATGGGTTCTATAGTCTCACCATAATCAGTGCACCAGTGATCCTGTGATCAATGTCACCTTCTGTGGACTTAGGTGTGTGTGTTTCAGGTGCGTGAGTTACCTGACCTGGACTGGTGGATGAAGATCATCTTGAAGTAGTTGGAAAAGGCAGCTAGCACAGCACGGTGAGCCTTGAAGTAGACGTTCCCAATAGCAACAGTGCAGTCACATAGGAAACCAAACTCTCTCTGAACGTTGAGCTGCTGCAGCAGGAAGAGGCTGTGAGAGGACACCTCCATGGCCCCGCCTGCAACGCAGAAAAACACAAATCAGACAACACCTCCATGACCAATGACTGCCCAGAAAACCTTCAAAAGGAGACGTCCAGGACGCATCTTTATAAGATGTTGAACAGATGCCTGAAGTAGAAGCAACTCTACTCTAAACTCCTGACCCTACCTCAAAGATTTACAGCTATTTCTGCCCTCATTCTTGTATTGACGTTCTTGTAGTGATGAACCACGTAGATGGGCCAATTAACCACAAGCTTTGTCCTGAGGTTCAGCCTCTTCTTCATGACATACTGGTACAACACCTACAATACTGCTGGTGCTGAACTGACATGTCTGTTAATCTGAAGATCCAGAAACAGGCCAGTGCCTTGGGGGGGGGGACAAAGGACAACCCTGATGAAACATGCACCAGCTTTGAGCCAACACCATTGACACAGACTTGACAGAAGACTTTCTCCTAGTCCACAAAACACATGTAGACTGGATGGGAAAACTCCATGCTGCTTAGAGAAGTCTTGTAAGCATAAAGAGTTGGGGGGGGGGGGGGCTGTTTCCCCACCTGAAGGAAGTAATCCACTTCCTTTCTGTGAGGTAGAGATGAGAGGAGACCCAAAACTGGCAATCCTCCCTGCTACAATTTGGTAAACTGTCCATGAAGATCATAAAGCAGAAACTGAGACAAAGGACAACCCTGATGAAACATGCACCAGCTTTGAGCCAACACCATTGACACAGACTTGACAGAAGACTTTCTCCTAGTCCACAAAACACATGTAGACTGGATGGGAAAACTCCATGCTGCTTAGAGAAGTCTTGTAAGCATAAAGAGTTGCTGCTCGCTTCATTGTCCCTCCTGGATCCAAGGTTCAACTGTTGGCCAGAGCCTCCTTTCCAGTAACATGATATAAACTTTCCAAATAGTTTATATTTTCGACACTCAATAGTGTTGAACCTGGATGGTTGAAGTGCACTTGTGTCAACCTGGTCTAGACACAGTCCCAGACCTCAGCACAACATTGAAAATGTGTGAAAGCAAATATAACCCAGTATGATCCAGAGCCTTCAGCTCAGAGTGACTCTCATCCACAGCAAGCACCCTCAACCGTGGAAAAAATCAGACTCACAATTATTGTGATTGATTTTGATTTCATGACTATTAAAAACAATTACCCATGATATGACACCGGCAACACACTCATTTACACAACTTAAAACCTCTTGGAATTTTTAACACTCTTATGAGAAAATCACAATATGTGGGAAGAAAATGTTGAGATAACTACGACTGAAGGGACTGAATACCCACAAGGAATTGGTGAAAATTTCTTGAAGTAAAGAATTTCTACACCGTTATAAAAAGTTCAAGGATTGGACTTATTTTACCGCTTACATTTTGTCACGGGCTGCAGATCAAATCGTTCAACAAATCATTGACTTATTTGGTACCTTAAAGGAAAATCGGAAAAAAAAAGAAAAAAAATGCATCAAGGTTGAGGGATTTTGGGGACCTTGGGTGACCTTTCTGACCCATGCCACCCTTCTGGACACACCTGTTTAGAAATCTTTGTAAACCAACAAGAGCTTTATTTGAAGAAGTCAGACTTAAAGGTAGTGGAACAGATGTGTCTTAGGGGCGAAACACAAACACTTGAAGCTGACCTTCAACCTCTGGAGGGAAAAATTAGCCTCACACACCTGCTGCAAGTCAATCCAACATCCACACTTCAACACATCACAGATTTAACCTCTGAATGGGGTCAATTAGCCTCTCACACCTGCTGCAAGTCAATCCCACATGCCCCGCCCACTTATTGTCTGAACCCAGGGATAAAATCACCTGAGACAGGTGAGCAACAGGTCAGACCTTTGACCTCACTGAAGGTCACCTTAAACCCCCCAGACCAACACATGTACACGCATATACAAATACACACCCATGCACACAAAACACACACACACATTCACTAACACACACTAACACACGCACAGACACTCACGCGCCCTGATGGGAGGTGTCTGCAGCTGATGACTATCGTTTCTGACCGGAAACAGACCAAACAACAAACCAGCTCCGCGCGTGCACGTCGCGTCGCGCTCGTGCGGCTGCAGCCTCCTCCATCCTCTGTCTCATTCAGATGCACAAACACGCACGTCCTCATTCCCCTGTATGCAAACCAGCGCGGGCACTCGTCCGGCCGCCCCGCGCACACGCTCCGTGCGTGTGTGCCTACGCTGTGCACGCGCGCCGTGCCCGGCGGTCGTTAATCGGTGTCTTACCGCAGAAAGGAGCAGATTGTCTTCAGGTGGAGGAGCCGATTTGTTGCTGCAGATGATCTCGCAGAAAGCCGCGTCACGTCTCGCGAGAGGAAGGGTCAAAGGGGCTGGTCACGTGATCGGACTGGGTACGTACCAACATGTAATTGATCAATTACTGAAGAACTTAATGAGTGGAATTGGACTTGTTTATTAGAAAACATCCCCTGACAGAGATCTTAATTTATGGATGGTAATTAACACACATAAACTGATGAACAGTGATAACAACATAATAATAACCCCTACCCTAATAATAATGGTAATAATACTGGTAAGGTGTGTTTGTCTTTAGATAGCTCCCCCTGACTTTACATTTAAGAATTTTGAATTTATAAATGTTTTTTTTTTTTTTTCAAAAGCAAGGATTGCTTTCCAAACCCTTTTTTTCTGTCAGATTAATTTCCATCTCAACACCCACTGATATTATTTTAATGAAATTTGGCAAATGGCTTCTATGAGCCTACAATGATTTTTAACTTAAGAGGAGTTTCATTCAGACACTGAGAAAAGACAGTTTGGTGGATTTGTCTTTATTTGAGTCTGATTTATGTAACCATCCTGTAAGAACCTGGTGTGGTTTACTTTCTATACATATTTTCATAAGTATTCAAAATCAATGCTAAATTTAAAGTTAATTAACTATTAAAAAGACTTTTAGAAAAAAGACTGCACTTAACTCATAACGATCAAAGACCTCAGCAACCAAAACAGGCAGTGTATTTAAATACACTTCATCCTTCTGCGCTAAAATAAGATAAATGTTTAAAAAAAAAAAAGAAGAAAAAAACAAAACAAACAAAAGAAACCTTAGAAATAATAAACAATGAAAGTGTTATTTTCCATAAACGTGGATACCCGTTTACTTATCGTGTCTCTGCGGGTAACCTGACAGACCAAAGGAAGGTAAACCAAAACCGTTTTATAAAATCAAACAGAGTGAGACGTCACCCCTGCTTTATCGGAATGATAGGATATAAACGTTTGAATATATAAAGCAAGAGAACATAATAATAATTTTAAAAATACAAATTCGTCCAAAAATAAAAAAAATAAATTTAAATGTTTGGTTACAGTTTTTGGCGTGTTAAATCTCTGAGTCTTCTATGATTCCACTAATTTATCTCAGAGTAAGCGCTCTTCACTGGTTTCTCTTTCTAAAGGATACTTTTAGTACGCGTCCCCATCTCAATAAAGTCACGCTACGTGAAAAATACAACAAAACGTTTCCTGTTACGAACTCTAAAATAAAAGTCATCTGCCTACTGAAATATTATTGTTTTAAAAAATTAATTCATATCTTGGCATTTAATTGACTTGTTTATAATAGATGGCTCTGAACCAGATAACAGCTCGGAAAATAGCCGAATTTCTCAGCTGAGAAATTTACAGTGAGAAAGTTATTACACTAAATACAACACAGCATGAGTTACATCATTTTGTTAGATGCTTAATACAGACATACCTCCATACATATTATTTTTTCTGTTTCTCTAGGTAATAAGTTTCCCCCCTAAGATCTCAAAATAAATTTCAGTATTCTCTGAGTTTTTTTTTTTTAAGCAAAACGTAAAAAAACATAAATGGTCTTTAATAGTGAGAGCAATGGCAACATAGCTTTCTGTGCTCTTGTTTTTCCACAGATTATTGAGCGGGTTATTGTTTTGTTTTTTTACATCAACGGATTATTGTCTTAATATATCATGAGAACATTTTTTAAAGGCGTGTTTTCTTGCTGGATGTTTACTTTGAAGTCAAGCAAAATAACCGGTCTTCCGCAGTGAGTCTAACTTGACTGCGCGGCAGACTGTACGGAAGTTCTTTCATCCTGCAGGCGGAGAAGAAGAAGACGAGGCTCTCCTTCGTCTCAACTTTCCGCCTGAGCACAACAATCCTCCGCAGGGGAAACTTCCAGACCCCGGGGAGCTCCCGACACCCTCCGCCGCCAGCAGCAGCTCCTCCGCCGGCCTCCGGTATCCGCGGTGAGTACTCGCCAAACAGCCCTACCCCAGGAGCTGCATGGCCGTGAGAGAGCAGATGAAAATCCCCGCGGCCTGCTGCTGCTGTCGGTGCTAGCTGAATGCGGGTGGCAGTGCGGGGGTGGCGGGACTGTTTGCGGGATAGAGCACTGTAAACGCCAAAGTAGCGGTATTTTTAATATTACATCCGCTTTGGGCTTTCACAATAATGATCTGAACCTTTTTTGGGATGGTGGGGAAGCTATTGTTTTGGTTTTAGATAGGCTGTACATACTAATTAATGTCAATTATGTGTTTTAGTATATACAAACCTACTTTAATAAACCTTCTACGTTAAAAAGAATTACATTTACAGTCTTTGTGCGTATTTTACAGGTGGTCGGCATTTATCTTTCTTTTTTACTTTGAAGCGTCATCCGCTGTCTCTTCCGGTCCAATTGACGCTAGCGAGTGTTAGCTTCACGCAGCTAACCGCTGAGGAGAAGTCATCTCCATTTTGGCTCGTTAGTGCGGACGGCCTCTCCCTTCTTTCTGCCCTAATACAGTCTCTGCTTACACCGCTAACGGTTCCCGCTTCTCATAACATCTTGTCGGTTCTTCCAGGGCGGTTTCTCTGTCCACTAAAGTCCGTGAATGCGTGACCGTTCCCCGCATGCCCGCTGGCTCTGCGGGGGCGGTGGCGAGCTGAGATCTGCTGTAGCTCAGTTACAGTAAAACGCCTTAGTGGGACCGGGAAAAGTGACACTTTTGAACAGAGTCTGGTGGGTTCTGTCAGTGACAACTTAGTGAGACACTTTAATTATGAGAATGTGCGGGAGAGGGACGTTTTTGAGAGTCTCAGACTGTTTAGTTAATCTCCCAGCTTTGTCTTCTCACCTGTTTGAGTCAAAAGTGAACCTGAAGGCCACAGTAACGCCAAACAAACCAGCCAGGCATTATGAGGAACAGGTGAATAACTAAACACCCCCAGTCCTCATATTACTCATGCCTGTGGGTGAAAATCCAACATGGATTATCAGTTTAGGTTTATTCTGCCACCAACCCAGTCTGAAAAAAAAGAGAGAAAGGAGTCCAAAGATCTCTGGAGTCATCCTGCTTGACAGAGAATTTTTTTGCTTCTGCTGAAACCAGAGCTGAATAACTAAAGTCAGATCTGCTAGTTATTCATATCAGATCTGGATGAGTCATAGCAGGACAGAGAACTGCTTCTGTCTCCCCGAGTACAACCAGTCAAACATTATGAAATCCTCTACGAGGCAATAAAAGCCGACCACAGAGAAACCTCACAACAGAAAGAATGCAGCCGTTTAATTTCTCTCTTCACGTCTTCCTCTGTTCTCTGCAGGGCGATGGCGAGGCCGAGCCACAGTGATCATGTCCTCCAGCAGCTCAACAACCAGCGAGAGTGGGGCTTTCTGTGTGACTGCCTCATCGCCATCGGGGACATCTACTTCAGGGCACACAAAGCTGTCCTGGCGGCCTGCAGCTCTTACTTCAGGATGATGTTCATTAGGGACCAACAGGGGGCGGGCCGCCTAGACCTCAGCAACATGCAGATCAGCGCAGAGTGCTTCGACCTCATCCTGCAGCTCATGTATCTTGGTCGAATCGTTGTGGGAAGCTATGAGTTTGAGGAGCTCAAAGCCTCCATGGCATACCTGCAGATGTACTACATCCCAGACTCACTGGAGGATCTCAGGGACATCAGGAGCTCCAACCTCACCCCATCCTCTTCTGCCTCTGCTTCATCCTCGTCGTCCAGCTCCTCAGCTGGACCTGCTGGTGGGAAGATGATGTTTGGAGTCCGAATGTATGAGAAGCAGAGACCTGCTGCAGCTGAAGTGGAGCGTTTACCAAAAGCAGTTAACAGCGCGGCTGTACGACCAGCAGTACCAGTGACTGTCAGCAGACCGGTGGTAGCTGAAGAGGTGGTCAACACCCCCCTGATGGTGGCACCACCGGTGGTTGACGGAGCTGCCGAGCAGCCATGTGATTTAAGAAAAAGGTCCAGCGCAAGGGGTTCAGCACTAAAAGACCGTCCTCGATTTGGCCGAACCTACACCTGCGATGACTGCGGCTTTGTCTTCAGCTGCGAGAAGCTTTTGATCGAACACATTCTGACCTGCACCAACCGAAAAGCTTTCCACCCGCCAAGAGGAAACGTGGAAGGTGATAATGACTCCAGTAAAGCAGAGAGCTCCACCTCTGACAGCATAGATGAGCACAGGGCGATGTGTAAAGGCGAGGATGACTGGTCTGGACTCAAAACTGACTCTGACCTCAGCTTGAGATCAGTGGCAGCTGGGACAGAGGGTGACCCGGGGTCAACCCGGAGTGTCTCAATCAAGACAGAACCAGAAGAAAGTGTTTTCCCTGAGATTGAAATGGTCCGGGTTGGTGAGCAAACCCCCAGAGACTGCAGCACACATTTCAGTGATGCCTCTCGTAACGATTTACGCAGAGAGAAAAGTGGATCTGAACGTGAACCAGAACCCAGTGTCTCAGGTATGGATAATGGCAGTGAGCCTTTAGAAGGTCACATGCCCAGCAGTGAAGATTTAGGAATCCCTGCCAAGCTTCGTAAGGTCAAGGAGGAGAAACGGGAAGCAGACTCCACTCCCTGTGAACTGTGTGGTGATCTGTTAACAGAGGAAGACAAGTCTGCTCACTACCTGTCCAACCATATGGGCCATATATGTGCCTGTGGGAGGTGTGGCCAGGTGCTAATCAAAGGCCGCCAGCTGCAGGAGCATGCAGAGCGCTGCGGCGAATCCCAAGGTAGGGAATCAGACTCCAACGGCGAGGATGAGGTTTCCCTACTGGAAGAGGCCCAGGGGATGGAGGAGGGACTGCTGGATTCAGCTGACCTGGCCTGCTCTCACTGTGGTCTGTTGTTTCAGAACGAGAGTCTGGCACTGGAACACGCCTTGTCCTGCCACGACCAGGAGCTATTCCGCCCGGTGCTGCTGGAGGAGGGCGCTGAACCAGATCACCGCCGGAAACACTTCTGCAGCATTTGTGGCAAAGGCTTCTACCAGCGCTGCCACCTGAGGGAGCACTACACCGTCCACACCAAGGAGAAGCAGTTCACCTGCCAGACCTGCGGGAAGCAGTTCCTTCGGGAGCGCCAGCTCAGGCTACACACCGACATGCACAAAGGCATGGCACGTTATGTGTGTCCAGTGTGCGACCAGGGAACCTTCCTCAAGCATGACCACGTCAGACACATGATCTCTCATCTGTCGGCTGGGGAAACCATCTGCCAGGTGTGTTTCCAGATCTTTCCAGGTGGGGAGCAGCTGGAAAAACACATGGATGTTCACCTGTACATCTGTGGCGTCTGTGGGGAGAAGTTCCGTCTCCGCAAAGACATGAGGAGCCATTATAACTCCAAGCACACCAAGAGACTATAGGAATGATCCAAACCGTCCTCTGCATTTATACGAGTTTGTTACTAAAAGCCATAAATGTGAGAACAAATGTATGCACTTAGACACCAAAAAATGACCTTTTAATCTGCACTTTTTATGTATATGCATAACCTAAAGAAACGTTCACACTGTGAGCAACTGGGCTGAGAGTTGGTTGCTCCATTGTCAGTCTGATGTGTGACAATCTGCAGCTTTAATTTGTCTCAACTTTGGCAAAGAGACAAGAGCAGAAACACTGATAATCAGGATTTTATGAGATGTTCATGGAACCTTCTTACAGAATCAACCGTAGATCAAACCGTCCATAAAGGCAGGGAATCAACTGTTTTAGTTGCCTTAGCTAACCGTCCAGAACCACAGTTTGATGTTGATCCCTGCCAAAGCTAACCAGCTAAAGAGCTTACAAGAAGTTTATTGTTATTTTGATGTTTATGAGATTTTGTTTACAGGATGGAAAGCACATGACATTTAAGTAACTTTAGACGTGGCACTGTACAGAAGGCAACTGCTAGTCAAAGAAACCCCAAAGAAAGAAAATTTACACTGAGACTTAACTTATAATGAGTTGTCACCTTTGAGGAGTCCGAGCCAGTTGGCATATTGTTAAAATGTGTTTTTTGTCGACAGACTAATTTGTTTTAACAAATAGTTTTTGCACTAGGATAAGCCATAGTCAAGATGGTGAATGGGGCGGGGTAAACTGTAGATTTAACAGGTTTTGAAAGTTCCCTGTGTCCGTTTTAAGGCCATCGGGCCTGTCAGGTGAGCTCCACCCATTCATCCCCACTTGTTTGGTTTGTACCCGTGTTGCTCTCAGTGTGAACGCACATAAAGACCGACCAAGAACTCTGAGAGACATTAAAACTGGAGTGTCTTCAGAGTGCTTTCAAAAACAAGCAGGAAAAAACAGCTCATCTTCCAGCTGTGACTGAGGGAGGAGCTTAAGAGTCAGTCTGGGAAGTGATTGGTCTGTCAGTGTTTCAGAGGACTGCGGTGCCCCTAACTTTGTGTCCCAGCTTTGATACCAACTGATTTTCCCGGAATACTAAAGTCTGAAGACAAACACGTGCAGTTCGTTAGAGGTAGTGAGCACAGTCGGTGGAGAAAGACTAAATTGTTTTGTGAGTTTGATAGCACACTGATTCTGTTCCTTCAGTTCAGCTTTATGTTCACTGTCATGATGACATTGCTGTTCAACCTGCTCTGTGATTGGTGCCTTTACTGTGACAGCAATGCACACCGGCAGCACTGCGTCTCCCTACGAAGCTTTCCCTTTTTCTTCACAGTGATGCATGCTGGGAAATGGACAAGTACAGACTTCAGTTATAAAGTGAATACTTCAGCATCAGATAATGAAAAAGCAGAACAACAACACTAGAGACGGTCAGCTCATTGAAACCAGCACAGCGCCAAATGCCAGTCTGGACTGAGTTCATGGGAACAAGCATTTTCAAACCTGCATGGGTTGATTTGGGACTTTGGGTGGACTGAAATGACCACAATGCAGCATGTTGGCTTCTTGATTTCTTGAAAGGGAAGAGAAAACATCCTCCCCTGGGTTCTAGCCGTGTTTGGTTTATTTGAATTTCATTTTTGAGGTTGTACAAGTTACATGTCAGTTAAGTCCTGGTGGCAATAGATGCTGGTCAGCTCGGCCCCTTAAACAAATAACTGCCGGGATAACCGGCACGCAAGCTAGGCTACAGTTTTCTGGAGGAGAGGCTAAGTTGTAGTTTTGAGAGACTTGTCCAAGCGTCTTGGTTAGAGTGTTAGCTCTACTGAGCATTTTTCAGCAGAACGTACACTAGACTGAGAAGAGATGGGTCAGAATCCAGAAAACCAAACCAACTCAACACACAGGCAGATGTCTGAGAAACAGTCTGAACTCAAAGATAATTTAACACGGTCCAGGTCCAGGCCTAAGTCCAGTACTCACTGGTTACCAGTTATTTTTAGACCCAGGTTTCAAAGTTAGTCTGTTAATGGTCTATCCATCCATTTGATACCTTGATAATCAAAGTAACACTAAGTTTTTGTTACTTTAATGGATCTACCATCAGAGTTTATCATAATTCATGTGACCTGCAGAGAATTATCTGAAGACTGAATTCATGGGGTCAAACGTTAGTCAGCCTCTGATGGGTCCAACAGGTCCACATGTGGGTTTAATGTTGACTCAGTGCTGCCCTAAACCAGTTCAAACCAGTCCAATGAAGGCACTTTAATTCAATGTGAAACCACTTTATAATGAATTCAGAACCAGATTAACAAGACCAGGGTTACTTTAGACAGTTGAGAACCAAGTGAGAAAGATTTGATTGCCATGCGTTGATATAAAGTATCAAAGTCAGATGAACTGAGTTTGAGGCAGCGTAGAGGATCTTTCAGTTTGTGTTGACTAAGTATTCATCTTTAGAAGTCTGTAATTGGATGAAGTTGATCCAGTTTAACTTTTAAAAACCTTTCCTAGATAGAGAGACGTTGATTTATGAATCCAGGTCCTTCTGGTCTTGATAAACCTTTCTGCTGAGCTCTCATGTTTGCTGCTCTGGAGTTAATTTTCTGGGTGATTCCCTTAAACCCGTGACATTGGGATTTTAGACACTCTTAAGTCTCGATAACCTTCTTGTTCTTGTTTAATCATTAAGGCAATGAAGTCAGCACTGGTTTCTGATTGGTCTATTGTGTTCAGTATCTTCTTTGTTAGTGTTCTGCTGGTTTTTGTTGCGCCGCAGCTTGCTCTCTTTCTGTGAAGTTTGAAGATGTCACTCTGATCTCTGAAGAAACACTCGCCTTTCGTTAGCGCTCAATAAACCAAGTGAATTCTGTTTGTCATGAAATGTCTTTGTCCATGTTTTACTGAGTGATTCACAGGGAAAATGAAGAAATTGTGGGAATTTAGAAATTTTAGGAAATGTGTCACGATACAAAATCTGGTGCAAAGTTAGCTTACATTCATCCCTCCTGCATACAAAACATCTGACTCTAACTTTACTGTAATTTACAGTGGTTTCTGTAATTTTACAAATGTTTAATCAATGAGTGGCTTATTATTGAAAAGTTATTATTTTTAATTGCAGTGAGGATTAATATACATATAAAGTTATATTTTAGTAATATATGTGTATTATATATTAACACCGAATACTAATATTTGAACATTAGCTCCATTAGGATGATTTTCAGTTCTCAGCCTGCAGTTCATAGTTGGTCCACAAGAGGAGGCTGGAGGATTCAAGAAGTTTTGATGAATTTGTGGTCTGTCCCAAGCTTCACAGTAAAATCACACAATGACACACCAACAACAAAAACCCATACAAAACAAGCCCCTAAAAGAACACTTTCAGAGTCACCCCAGTCCATATAACCCAGAATTCATGAGAACACTATTTTAAAAGTAAAAACTCTACCTTAAAAGTTGAAATAAGGAAACATTTATCATGTAATACACTTTTTATTGTCTCTTAATGTTGGTACAAGCTTGTGGAAAATCCATTTGAAGGTAAATATCTGTATAAAAGGCTTCAAAGGCAGGCCTTAGGACCACTGTAGGACAGGTCTGCAGTAACTTTCAGACTCCAGAAGAGCTTCAAATCCTAAAATAAACCAACAGCTCAGCATTTAGCAACTAAAAAGTGATGTTCAGTCGTGATTTACAAAAAAAAAACTTTTTAATAACTGATCCAGCTTCTCTCAGTGTAGTCATCCCTTCTTCCAAATGGCAGATCCTCTAAGTCAGGATGCTATTTTCGGACTGAATTTATAAACCCGCCAGCTCTGATAACTGTGGTCTTGTTGGGTTAAAAATAAAACCCATCAAACAAAGAGGAGGTGAATCAGGATTAAAAACAGGTGAAATCGACTGGAAACGCTCAGATCAGCTGATGGACCCACCTGTGCAGGCTTCATTCTGGCTGATTCACTCAGACAATGAAAGGATAAATGAAAGAAAGAAAATCTAATTTATCTCCATCAGGGATCAAATACAGACCTGAAAGGAAAACCTGCACAAACCTCTCCAGACTTTGGCCTTAATTACTTTGGCCCACCTTTTACAGACAAACTCAGATTTCGGAGGAAACAAGGGGACAGTTTGAGGATTTAAGCTTCTCATAGTAACAGATTAAATCCAGCAAAACTCATCAAAACAGTTGATGGATTACAGAAAATGCTTTCTCTCAGGGGTAAATCTGCTTGGTCAAAGATCTAAATAAATATGGTAAAATTTAACCCTCTAGTGCCTGAAACCACAATTTATGGCCAGAAAATTCCAATGTTTTTGGAGCTGCAATGTCTATTTCACTTACTACTGAAAAACAAAAAAATCAAAATGTCCTTAAAATTTAACAAATATATTTATATATATTTATGTTTTTGGGAACTGATAAACCACAAAAGGACATTTTTACTATTTATTGGACTGTTTTAAGGTGGGTTTTTTTTTGTAATTTGTTGATCATATTGATTTGATAGAAGTACCATAAAAGTATGTGTCAAATATGATACAAAGGGCAATAATAGGCTACAACATGAACACACTTGTCTTTATTTCTTTTAAAAATATATTTTAGAACATTTTTTAAAATACATTACCCTTGTTATTTTGATTTGTTTTGTATTTATTTTTTGTTGTTATTATTGCTATTTTGTTAAAAAAACAAAAACAAAAAAAAAAAAACTTTGTGACTGCTCTGTGAAAGGTTAAAATAAACTTACACTGAAAAGAAAAAAAGCTGGAGATGAAGATAAACTTGGTGTTGAAATAGAAAAAAAAACTTTTGCAATAAAATAACTTAGTCAGCTGAACCCAAAAACACTCACAACTAAATAAAAATACAGTTAAACCGCTCGGATTGTGTACACACAGTGGAAGAAACGTTTTATTTCGAAGTCTCCGTAAAAACGAGCTCATCTGACCCTGACCCAGGGCGCTCCGGCTCCCCTCCCTGGACACCGTACCTGTGTGTGGGCAGGTTGGACGGATCCTCCGCGGTCACAGGGGGAGACTCTGTGGAGCTCGAAGCCGGAGAGGAGCAGTCCTGTTCGGGCTGAGAGGGCTCGAAGGGTCCCGCGGGGGGAACCGGGTGTAGCATCGCAGTGGGTCCAGGGGAGAGATCTCCTGAACCGGGTACAGGTTTTTCAGGTTCTGTAGAGTCTGTGTGAAAATCAACAGTAACTTCAGTATCACTTTTGCCCTTACATCGAGTCTGTCCGCTTTCACTCGTCCCGGTCCTGCCATGGGTGGTTTCAGGTCCAGCCGTGGGTGTCCAGACGAGACCGTAGTACAGGGACAGGATGACGGCGAACAGAGACACGGACAGGACGTAGACCAGCACCGTCATCAGCCTCACCCACCTCTTGTTGGCTCTGGCCGCCAGTCTCGCCTTCCGGTCCCCAGTGTAAGTGGCTGCTTTCCCGCGCTCCCCCGGGCCGGATGAGGCGGTCCAGGTCCGCGGGTCCCGCATGCTGCTGAGGCCGGGTCAGCCTCCCTGTCCGTCCGTCACCCTCTACCGAAGGTGCACTTCGGGGTCTTCTGTCCCGTCTGACCGGGTCAAGTCATCCTGGGTAAACACGAACTGGACAATCCACAGGTCAGCCTCCAAAATAAGAGTCTTCAACATTTTCAGGAAGTCCTGTGCTGCAGTAAAAGCTCCAACAGAACAGGGAAAATACCTGGTCATGAGTGCAAACTGCTCTGAAAATGTTCCTTCAGTAGTCTGGAAGTAAAATCAAGTGGATAAAAGAAAACAGAGACAAACACATTATTATATAGAGAAATAGAGACGGAAAAAAATGATTTATGTATTAAATAAAAGTTCAGATTATATATTTATTTTACTGTAAGAATCAGTTCTTTAGTTGACTGCTCAAAGACAACCAGAGAAATCCTCAGTTCTCAGATAAAACCATAGACTGTATATAGAATGGACGCCATCTGCCTCCTCGCTGGATGCAGCCACTCTGAGAACAGCACACCCTGCAGTATAGGTCACAAACCCCGCCTCTGCCAGCGAAGCTTATGGAGCTGTGGACAAATTTTAGAAATTTATTACACAGAACATATATTTATATCCCCCCCCCCCCCCCCCTGCTTGTGATGTTGACATGTAGTTATTGTAAGACTGTTTTGTGCTCAAGTCCTCTTTTTTTTCTGTACAGCTCCATTTTTAAAAGTTATTAGGGGGTTCATGTTTTCTATGATTGACACTTGACACAGCCTATGGGTGTACGAAGATTGCGTAGCTCACCCGAGTATACACTGTTCGAGTCGCGTGTCATCACACTGACTCCCTGCGACTTTCCCGCCAAATGTGCACAATGCTACTGCGCAAGTGGTGGAGTGCATACAATGCTACTGCGCAATGTTGGTTCCAGGAAATGGAGAGAAAACGTGGAACTACAGAGCTTTTTGGCTTCAAATCCGTATACTGGCGGTAGGCGGAACCAAGTTGTCCATAGTATATATAGTCTATGGACTAACATTATTTAGGTCACATGAAAAGTAAAACAGTGCTGGGCTTGCAATGACAGAGCTCCTAGGATCTCCATCAGAACAAGTGCCCATTTCCGAGTATCAGTCACATTTATCTTCTTGGGCAGGGAATGCCCTGGACCAGACCTGGGCATTTTATGGCACCAGGGCCACATCTAACCCTGAGCTTGTTTTTAACTAGTAGTTGCTTATTTGGTCTTGCTTGTCTGTATGTGTGAACCCCCTGATTTGACGTTGAAGTTATTGTTGGTTCGGCCCTCCAACACAGTTCAGGTTTCTCATGTGGCCCCATGTAAAAATTAATTGCCCACCCCTGCCCTGGATAGAGGTTGAACTTAAACGCAACCGAGTATCAATGGCCAGTTATCTCCAACATGAACAGGCCAACCACTGTTCACACGGTCTTACTAAAATGTGCTGTGAATATGTGTGTGTTTGTGTTTTGACCTTGAGGCATGTAACTACTGTAGCACACATGTACAACAGAACATAGAGAGTCTTGTGGATTATCAGGTTCCTCCTTATCAAGTTAGACATCACACTGTTCTGATTAAAGGAAAACAACCTGTAACTCAATGAAAACATTCATGAAATTGTTCATTCATTAACTAGTTCAGTTAAACTTCATTGGACATCAGTCAGTTCCAGAAACTGTCAGTCTTGTCCAAACAAACAGACTCTGCTGACAGAGTGTAAAGTCTGACAAACTTCAGTTTCAGTTCAGACAGATTTTTATTCCTCCATCTGCTCACACACGAGCTCAGAGTGTCTGTCCTCGGTTGTCCATCCTGCTGTTTGCCTCTATCCATGATGTACCGTCCATTTCTGCTTGGGTTGGCAGTGTGTGTCGTGGTCAGGGCTCAGGTTATCACCATCGTGACTGATGATGTTGAGATTATTAATCCTGAGAAACCAAGAGAGGGAAGAGAGGGGAGGCTGAAACAACTTGAGGAAAGACTGGAGAGACTGGAGAGAGAAAGTGAGCTTAGAGGTCTGTCTGTTTTACAGTTTTTAACACTGTACTGATGCTAACATTACTGTAAATTAATCCTGTGACCCACATATATATATATATATATATATATATATATATATATATATATATATATATATATATATATATATTTTAATCAAAGCTGACACCTTCCTCTGTGCTCTTGTGAATTTGAAGTCTAACAACAGAAGGTTGATTTTTATTGGATTATTTTGTTTGTTGTTGATAATAATCTCACGTCAAATAGACTCACAGGACGCCTTTATTAACCCGAAAAGACCAGACACTAAACAGACTGACTGAGTACAGATCAGTGTCAGTGTTTCTGTTTCTCTCTTTATGGATTTATAACTTTCTAAAATACAGAAGATCATAACTACAGAGGAGGTTGAGAGCCAATGGAAAATCATATTAAATTTAAAATGCATCTAAAGTTTTTTCCTCAGAATTTTGAGATAAATGTCAGAATTCAGAGATTAAAATGAAAATCTTATTTTTTTCTTTAGAAAAATTTAGCTAAAAAATCTAAAAAAAATGTCTGATCTAACCTTCATCCAATAATTTATTCTGTTTTTCTCAAAAAATGAGTTTAAAATGTAAATTTAAAGAGAGTAAGACCCTCAACTGTGCTTAACAATTATGTAAAAGTGAACGGTTTTATTCTTGAATAAAGACAGAATTCAGACTTCATTCATTGAAGTCTGAGAAAAAAGTCAGAATTCTGTCTTAATCCTACAATTCTGCTTTTTTTCCCCCAGAATTCACGGATTAAAGAAGAGAATATTTGTCATAGAATTCTGAAGTTAACCTAAGAATTTAAAATTTTAGCTCTAAAATATAAGAAAAAGGTCAGAATTATGAGATAAAATCCGAATCAGAATACTTGCTTACCCCGGTGGTAAATTCTGTTAATGTCAGTCTGCTATTTTTGTCACATTTCTGACTTTTCTAAAATTAGGAATTCTGAAAAAAGTCTGAATCAAACCTTCAAACTTTGTATCCTGAAAAACAGCATAATTCCGGGATCAAAGACAGAAGTGGAAAGTCAAAATTGGGAGACAAAAGCAGTAATCAGATCCCCCCTAGAACTCTAAATTTAAACATACATTTTCCAAATTTAAATCTAGGATTCTAATAAGCAGGTCAGGTTTCTAAGCTAAAGTTTAAAAAATCTGTAATTTTTATTCCAATTCAAGGTTTTGATTCAGAATTCAGAGAGAAAAGTTGTTTGTTTATAATCTTAGAACTCTTCAGTTTTTGTGCAAAATTCTAAGATTGGAGACAAAGTTCTGGCTTTTGAATTTTATCACACAATTTTGCATTTCTAGTGAGAATTCTATGACAGATGAATTATGAGTTAAAAGCCAAAATTCTGCTATTTTTTATCAGATTTCTGACTTTTTGAAATTTAAAATTCTGTGGAAAAAGTCTAAATTACGTCTTTAGTCCCAGAAACCTGGATAGAAACAGCATAGTTCTGCAATTAAATTCTGACATGTGAGTTTAATGAAAAAAACGTCACTCTGATTGGTCGTCACAGTGAAATCAGTACACAAATATCAAAAATTATTACAAATACAAGTTTCTCTGATGAAATATGGTACTTAGTGAAATCAGCTGATCTGTGAGACCCGTTCAAAGGTTGAGGGTCAGAAACAAACAGATAAACAATGCTGCTCTGATTTCATGAAACTGCCACCGTTACTTTGAATGTTGCCTGATGTCATATGATCCAGACCGGCCAATACAAATATGCCATATTGTTTGAGGCTTGAGTCCTGCCCACCAGATTCAGCCTACAGTTATAAGCTTGTAAAATTGTGGTTTGAAGCTTTTTGTCATCAAAATGAATTGTTATACAGAAATATATCATGAATCAGTATTTACAGGATCACCTGGTGACCTCCTCCTGTGTCCTCCTGCAGGTAAATCCCAGGTGGCGTTCGCAGCGTCCCTGGTGGACGTTGGACAGTGGACCCATCATGGACCCTTTGAGACCCCATCCACACTGCAGTTCAAGAAGGTGACGACTAATGTGGGCAACGCATACAACCCCATCACAGGTACGACTCACCTGCAGACCCATGGATTTGTTTGAAAGGCTTTTTTTATCTGCTTCTCTCAGGTGAATATGATTAAAACTGACAGAGCTGTTTGTCCCTGTTCTTTGTCTGCAGGCATCTTCACAGCTCCTGTGAAAGGAGTTTATTATATCCGCTTCACAGGTTGTGTTGGAGAGTCAGGGTCCCTGAATGCAGCATTGATGAAGAATACTGAGAACATGTTCGCCATCTTCGACACCAGAGGCACACATGGCTGTGGCTCTAATGGCATGCCTCTAATCCTGGAGGAGGGGGACCAGCTCTCCATCACACTGTGGTCGGGTCAGAGCATCTTTGACCAGACTCGACTCAGTACCTTCAGCGGCTTCCTCCTTTTCCTCCTGTAGCTGCAGATGGCCTCTGGTGGAAGTTTTGAGCTCATTTATCAGACCTGTAACCTCTGATCAAAGTGAAGTTACTAAAGAGGCAGGAGGGAGTTTTAATGGATCAAATCAAAATTAAAGAATCAAAAGAAAGAATTTTTGAGTTTTTAATGAAAAGTGTTTGTACTACAACACATTCAATTTTAAATTACAGCACAATCAAATCAGCATTATGACTTTATTACTGTTTTTTTTTCAGACAGAACTTAATGGGGTAGTTAATTTTTGTACCAGCATGTAAATATAGCTAAAAATAAATTCACAAGGATGGATCAATCAAAGATCAGTTTCATCATAAGGGATGACTAAACAAACAGAAACAACCAGTCAGAGTGATCACACGTGACTTTATTCAGTGACAACATAATTTCATTGATTCATTTTATGTTTCTGCTCTGGTTTATTCACATTAATCTTAATTTGGTAGTGTATTCCTTAAAGAATAATCACAAACAGGAAGTATTGTTTTAAATTAAAAACATTCTTGGAAAGGAGATATTGATGTACCATTTCTAAGATGAGTGAGATTCAGTTTGATAAAACATTAAATCTGGAATAAACAGTTAAACTGTTATAAAACTGCTCAGAGTCAATTCATAAACTTTCCAGGGTCAGGGTCAAAAATAATCCAGGACTGTGAAACAATAGAAAGAGTATGATGTGGTGTCAAAGCCACATTACAGAAATTTTCTTTTTGATCCTGAGAAAAAAGTGTTGATGTTATGAGCAAAAGTCATACCAAAATCAAGTTGTAGTGTCACAAGATTAAAGTGGTTATGTAACGCGAATGAAGGTGGTATTTCTTAACGTAGCGTCTTTATTTTGGTAATATGAGGAATTTACTATGACTTTATTCATGTAACAATAAACCCTTTTTCTCTAAAAATTTAAGTTTTCTGTCTTAAATGTGGTCGTAATGCAATAGCCTGACATGCTAACACATTTCAGTATTTTGTTCTCTTTTCCAGTTTTGGCAGAGCTCAGAAAAAAGTGAGACTAAGTAAAAGGTTTTGTGTCCTTAGATACATTAAGAGACTCACTTCATGAGGGTACCTAAAACTTTGATCTGATTCTTCGTTCTAATTGTTGTTATAAAGACTCAGAAAGATTGCAAAATTAAGTATTAATATTACTTCTACTACTACAAATCATTCTGATCAAAACTAATGAAAAACTGGCGTTTCTGCAGTCCTCAGGCCCCACCTCGACACAACTCCCTCATTCCTTTTGGATCAGGAGCTCCTGTTAATCAAAACAGAAACATTTATTAGATATAAAATGTAAATAGTTCACTCCAGGCAGTGCAAAAATTTAAATAAAAGTCATTATTTAGTATAAACAAACAGTTTCTGCTCACTGAAAACTTTTCTCTACTCATTTTTGCTGCTGGGTAAAAGCTAAATGTTTATTACAGACTTCAGAAACTAAAGATGACAAAACAAAACAGTAAAAATCTAAAAACTTCTGCTGAGTACAGTTAAATAACCCTAAAAAACCTTTTAACCTCCATAAGATCATCGACTGCAGCCATGTGCTCTGCTAAAATGAGTATTTGTTTCCACCCACCTGTGATGCTTACTCTGCAGGACCTCCTCATTCATCCAGGCCCTTTTTGGAGGATCCATCCCTGGTCTTGGCCCTCAGCTTGTTCACCTGAGACTCAGCAATATCAGCTCTCTCCTCTGCCTCCTCCAGCTCATGCTGCAGCTTGCGGAGTTTGGCTATGTTGCTGTTGGCAGCTTCCTCGGCCTCCTCTGCTGCTCGTTTGTAGGACTTGACCTTCAGCTGCAGCTTGTCCACCAGGTCCTGGAGGCGAGCCATGTTCTTGCGGTCTTCCTCTGTCTGGTAGGTGAGCTCCTTGATGCGGCGCTCATACTTGCGAACACCCTTGATGGACTCTGATCCCCTCTTTTGCTCCGCCTCCAGCTCGCTCTCCAGCTCTTTGATCCGAGCCTCCAGTTTCTGGAGCTGCTTCTTGCCGCCCTTCATGGCGATCTGCTCAGCCTCGTCCAGACGGTGCTGCAGGTCTTTGATGGTCTGCTCCATGTTCTTCTTCATCCGCTCCAAATGGGCACTGGTGTCTTGCTCTTTCTTCAGCTCCTCAGCCATCATAGCTGCATCTGTGATGGCCTTCTTTGCCTTTTCCTCAGCATTGCGGTTCTCCTGGATGGCCTCCTCCATCTCACTCTGCAGGTGCATGAGATCTGCTTCATGCTTCTTCTTCTGGTTGATCAGGCTGGTGTTCTGGGAGTGCAGGAGTTGCATGCGCTCTGTAGCGTCAGTGAGCTCCTGTTCAGCCAGTTTTCTGCTTCTCTCTGTCTGCTCAAGGGCAGCCCTCACCTCTTCCAGCTCAGCCTGGATCAGGTTGTGTCTGCGCTCCAGGAGAGCGATGTTCTCTCTCAAGTCATCGTTGCCATGCTGTGCATCATCCAGCTGGAGTTGGGTGTCCTTCAGGAATGCCTGAAGAGTCTTGAGTTGTTTCTGGGCATCAGCTGCCTGCCTGTTAGCTTGACTGAGCTGGATCTCCATCTCATTGAGGTCACCCTCCATCTTCTTTTTGACTCTCATGGCCTCGTTGCGGCTCCTGGTTTCAGACTCCAGAGAGGTCTGAAGAGACTCAAGCATCCGTTGGTAATTCCTCTTTGCCTGCTCCATCTCCTCATCTTTCTCTGCTATCTTGCGCTCCATGTCAGCTTTCACTTGGTTAAATTCAAGCTGGGCTCGCAGGATCTTGCTTTCCTCATGCTCCAGAGAACCTTCTGCCTCCTCCAGTGCTGACTGAAGTTCGGCCTTCTCTTGCTCCAGCTGCTTACGGACTTTGTCAAGTTCATGAGCACTCCTTCCACCTTCTCCCAGCTGGTCAGTGAGGTCTGAGATCTCCTCTTGGAGGTTTTTGTTCTCTCTCTTCATTGTCTCAAGCTGGTCCAGGCACTCCTCATAGGCATTCCTCAGTTTGAAGAGCTCAGTGCTAAGAGACCGAGCCTCCTTTTGAGAGCTCTCCAGCTCGCATTGTGACTCCTCGAACTTCTGTTTCCATTCTGCCATGACTTTGTCAAAAGCTCTTTGCTTTTTGTCCAGGGCTGCAGATGCTGCATTGGATCTTTCTAGGTCCAGCATCAGATCTTCAATTTCGTTTTGGAGGCGGTGTTTGGTCTTCTCCAGCGATGAACACTTTGCATTCACAGCTTCGATGGCCTCTTCAGCCTCCTGCAGTCTTTGGACCAGCTTCTTCTTTGCTTCCTCCAGCTCCTCTGTTCTCTGGATGCCGTCTGTTTCATATTTTGTCCTCCAGGCTGACACCTCAGTGTTGGATTTGGACAGAGCTCTCTGAAGCTCAGCCTTGGCCTCTTGCTCTTCCTCAAACTGCTCTCGGAGCAGGTCACAGTCATGACGAGCAGATTGCACAGCATGGGCGAGGGCGTTCTTGGCCTTCACCTCTTCCTCCAGCTGTCTGCGTAGATCCTCCACCTGCTGGTTGTATGAGGTTTTCACTCTGGTCAGCTGTGATATCAGGCACTCCTTCTCCTCAAGCTGACGTCCAAACTCTCCATTTTCAGTGAGAAGCTTGGCCCTCTGGGTAGTCAAGTCATTGATGGATTTTTGGGCTTCCTCATGTTTGCTCTTGTATTCATTCATGTTGTCTTCCATTGAACGACACATCTTCTCAATGTTAGACTTGGCCTTCACGATACTCTCCATGTTAGAGGATAGGTCATCCAGCTCCAGCTTGAGCTCACTCTTCTCTTTCTCCAGCTTTTGCTTCACGCGTTGTAGGTTATCAATTTGTTCCCCTAGTTCGGCAACACTGTCTGCATGTTTCTTCCTCAGAGAAGCAGCGGTGGCTTCATGTTGGAGGGTTGACTCCTCCAGATCTCTCCGCAACTTCTGAAATTCAGCATCTCTCTTCTTATTTAGCTCCACCTGGGCTGATGTTGCTCCGCCCGCCTCCTCCAATCGCTCACTGATGTCCTCCAGCTCACGGGAAAGATCAGAGCGCTGCTTCTCAACTTTGGCCCGGGCTGCATGCTCTGCATCAAGCTCCTCTTCCAGCTCCTCGATTCTTGCCTGGTTTTCTTTCAGCTTCTTCTGGAGCTGAACTGAAGCAACCTGCTCATCCTCTAGTCTTGAATTTATTTGGACAATCTCAAAATCTTTTTTCTTCAGTTTTTCCTCCAACTGCTGCTTGTCATTTTCTACATCCATAAAACTTTCCTGGTTCAGTTTCAGGTCACCCTCAAGCTTCCTCTTTGAGCGCTCAAGGTCCATCCTGACTTTCTTCTCCTGCTCCAATGAGCCCTCCAGATCATCCACCTGCTGCTCCAACTTAGATTTAGCTTTGGTCAGGCTGTTGACCTTATCTTCTTCACTCTGAAGGTCATCCAGTGTTTGCTGATGAGCCTCCTGCAGTGCTTTCTTCTCCCTGGTTAGCTTCATGATGTTTTCATCCTGGGAAGCCATCTCCTCAGTCAGGTTTTTGACCTTGTTCTCTGTGGCATGTTTCTCTTTCTCCACCTTGGCCAAAGTCAGCTCCAGGTCATCAATATCTTTCTTCAGCTCAGAGCATTCATCCTCCAGCTTCCGTTTCTTGGCTGTGAGGTCTGCATTCAGCTCCTCTTCATCTTCCAGTCTTTCTGTCATCTCCTTCAGCTTAGCCTCCAGTTGAATCTTGCTCTTTATAAGCTGTTCACAGCGTTCTTCAGCATCAGTCAGTGTGTCCTGTTCAGACTGAATTTGCAGAGTCAGGTCATTCTTCTCTTGGAGGACAGTCACTATTTTCTCTTCCAGCTCCTTTCGTCTCACCTCTGATTTCTCCAGAGCTTCTTTCAGCTTGTTGAACTCATCCTTCATGTTGGCCATCTCTTTCTCAGACTCTGCACTCTTCAGAAGGGGTTTGATCTTGAAGAAGAGCTTCATCCATGGCCAGTTCTTTACGCCCAGGAAGGATCGGAGGTTCCATTGGATGA